AGGACAGTGTCAGTTTGGAATGGCTTAACATAAACTGCATCAGCTTCAACAACGGTGAGGGTGTGATTTGCTATTCCGAAAAATAGTTCATCATTGAGCGCAGCATTGATCAAACGGAGGAGATACGTCTTCCCGGCTTTAACCTTCAGCTTAAATGTTTCTGCGAAGTACCATAATTAACAAAAATAAGTAATTAGTACTTCCATGCAGTAATTTTTAGTGACAGAGTATTTTTGTTCGTCATTAAAGACAATAGGGGTACTGCAACACGACGACTTCTAAGAGGGTCGCCAATTCTAGTACTACGCACTGTCATCCAAACACGCTTAACTACAGAATTTTGATAGGATCCAGTGCATTAGTGTTGGTATGATGGCACCCTGTTTTTAGTCACAGAATGTTGTTCCTGAAAAAAGTGATATAGTATGTTGTAGTGTATTTAGACATATACCATTTGCTGAACAATTATACAGTGGCCCTGGGAGTCCATTAATGGTGTATGCATCAGAAACATTCGGTGGAGCTCCGGTCTGAAGTGCCTGGCTAATAACTGCCTCCGTATTAGTGTTCCACCACTCACCTATATTTTGCATTATATATCAATCATATATAGTTTGTTGTTAGTATAATTTAGATTGTGTTTCAAACCATGAGATAATTAACATATATATGATGTTTAGTTGGTGATTACCAAAGATGATAGGGACTTCCTTGTAGGGTTTCTCAAATGGGTAGGGCACATTGTGCTTGGGGAGGATGACAATAGGTCCATAGAGTGTAGCTCTCATCCATGAAACGTGAGCATGCCAAAACAGAGTCCCTCTTTGGCCAACAATGGTGTAGTTGTACACATAGGTCTGGCCAGTTTGAATGGGACACTGTGTAATGTATGCCGGTCCGTCAGCCCATCCGGTCTGAAGTTGTCGAATGCCATGCCTGTTCCCCTCATCCACCATTCACCAAAACACAATCATAAGCTAACAAACATATAATTAAATAGATGGTATTAAATAAGTTTGGTAATCAGGTTATACAAATAATATATACACAACATTAATGGTGACTTTAAACAATGGGAGAATTTGTTACGAGTATTGATAGGGAGTCTGACAGTTGAAGTGATCACTGTAAGGGGATCCTACTCACAGTGATACTTTCAGATCTGTCTGACTGTAGAACTCCAAATCATTTTCTATTTTGTATTGAAAACAATGCTAGGAAGTTGATATATGGTTGAATTCGTACCAATGGATGCTGATATTGTCTGAAACATGATTAACCACCTTAATAAGTAGACGGTCGCCCTCTCTAGCGACGATTTTAGGCCCTGGGAACTTGCCATTGACAGTCACCATGGTCTTTGTGTGGCACAATCTGGTCACATTTCGCAACCTTATCTGCAATAAAGAAAACACAAAACAATAGAACAAGTACTCTTTCATGAACTACTACAAAAATAAGGTCAGTTGGTGGGATTAACATATATATATATATATATATATATATATATATATATGTTAATCCTATATATATACACACACACGCACACATACATGGAACTTGTAGTGTCTTGTAATGCCTGCATGCTTAGCAACTGCAACCTCGGGAAACAACCAAAGGCAGCTCATGACACAAACCAAAGCAACCACTAGTACTCCTGGTGTCGGAATAAGAGAAGCACCCATGTTTTTATATATCTAATTTTTTCTTTACCAAGTAAAGAAAATGAATGGAGACAAAATTGAACTTTTTTTTTTCTCCTTACTTTGGAATGATTCATGAAAGGTTTTGAGGGTTGTTTATATAGACATGGTAGGTTGTGTCTGGTTAACTTATTAGGTGATCAGAGACATTTTCAGTCTAGAGTAAGAGTCACAGACAAAAGTATAGTAAAGAAAATCAGTGAAAATACATGCACCAACTACTGTTGGTTTTGCTCGACTTTGGAGTGTTGCTGAAGTCAATTGTTGCTGATTTGACCTTCTCTCTGTTGTCGTCAACCCTTATCCTCATAAATAAATATCGTCATTTCGATCAATAGAGTGTGTGTATAAATATATATTAATTTTAAAGCCCATAGTTGAATTATTAGATTCATCCCATTTCTTCGTTGAATATGCTTGCCTGAAAAAATAAATAAATAAATAAAATAATAGGAGAAAAAAACTCTTCATTTATTTATTTTTAACCAATAATCAATAGTCACTTTGAACTCTCCAATGGTTCACCAATAAATGAATCACTTGAATCGGTTAAATATAGATCTCACTCATAGTCGAACCAGCAATTTAAGAAAAATACTCTAAAGACTTAATACCAACCGAATTATTTGACTAAGGTGCTATTTAATCAAACTGAAATTATGCATTTGAAATTTTTATTTACTGAATTTCAAACTTTGAAATTTTAAGCATGAATGGATTAAACTGAAAACTTGTTTGACAATGTACTGAATTCATTCCATAATGTCTTATACTCATAACATTTTTATATTTATAAAACAACTAATTTCATTCAAAGAAATATATCAATTTTAAAATGAATACTATTCATAAAAAATATTAATTCAAACTTAAATTATGAACATTATTCTAGCAAGTAGTACTCATTAACATTATTTTAAAAGTGAATGTCTCAAAAACACTATTAAATTAAACTAAAACACGTATAAAAAAAAGTTTGGTAAGAAAAACAATCTGTTAAGCCATAGACATTCCAAGAACTCCAACCGTTAATCTTGTTGATCAAGTAAAATCAGTGGGTCACAATCTATCCAAATAAAGCCATGTTAATCATTTTCAAAGATGACCGATTGAGATATGAACGTTGGTTGGAGATGGCATATCTCCCAACCAGAATGAGCCTTAGGAGTGTCAAAGCCCACAGTACGTAGAGAAGGACATTTGACCCAACCCTAATTTCTTCGAAGCAAGAAAAGAATGATAGAGAATTTTGGTTGTTTCGTTATTTTTTTAGTGTAAACAAGCTTAACCATGAAGCCAACCAACTATTTACGTAAAATACATGGTTAAAATTTGGTAAAGCAGTGGTATCTGTATAATTACACATTCATAGTGCGTTAATCACTCACTGTACTGATTTTGTAGTTGCACCAACTACGCTTCTTGTAGGGTACGTACTTTTGGATATACACTTGTTTTTGTACAATATATCACTTTTTGTTTTATTTTTCTTTCTTTCTTCTTTTCTAAGTTGTTTTGTGAAAATACTAAATACAAAGATAAAATTGTATTGCATCCAAGTTACCAAGTACCACCTACATCAAACAATCGATATAGTAAAATTATGGTAAAATTACAATAAAGGGCTAAACATGGAAGATTTTAGAGTGGATGGATAATGGAAAATTTTAGTGTGTTTGTCATGAGGGCGTTCTCACCGTGTGTGTTGTCACTGACTATCAATTTGCAATGAGGTTGCGCCGTGCAAGCGACAAGTGAGTGCTTAAGAGAGAGTTGAAGTTCTACATGACCCATGTATGGCATGAGGAGAGTAGAGTTTTATGGTCTACCAAATTGATATGGAGATTGCAGAAAGCTAGAGAGTTAGAAGATTCTATATTAGTAAAGATATTGTATAAACTCGCAGGGAGTAGAAAGTTTTAGAGTAGTAGAGAATTCTGTAAGGTGTAATTATTAGGATAGAGAGGAGATATGAGGCCTATAACTAGGCGAGGGGATTCATTTTTAACGAATAAGCTGTAAGAGTTAGACAACCTTATACATCGACTCATTTGTCACAGTGGGAGGTTCTCAACCCAAGTGCATGATATCTTTGGTTCACAAATGCTACCTATCATCACCTACATAATTTTAACAGGGATGGTATGGTAAATTATATAAGTTAAATGTAGAAAAAAAAAAGTCTGTTAACCTACTTTTATGGCATATAATATGCCCCCAAATGCTGCATAGCATCTGGTTTATAGGGTACAAAAACTTGTTTCTGGGTAGTTTTTCCAGAGAAATGGTTAATAAATTGATAAGAAAATAGGAAAAATTTAACCTTCTTACCTCCTCTTTAAAGCCATTAATTCCTAATTTGTACTTATCTAATAAAATAATTATTTATTTTATTTTTTGTTTGGATACAGTGGGGAGAAAAGAAAATATAATATTCTTGTTTGGATATAATGGATGGGAGAAAAGAAGAAAAAGAATAACAATTAAATTACTATCATGTCCTTTTAACTAGAAAAGATATGAGTGAAATAATAATTTTCTCCTTTTAATTGTTAAGTGGCAGTTTCAGAATTAAATGCTATCTTTTCTCTCCATATCTTTTCATTTTTAAAGATATAAGAAATGAGAAATAAGTAGGGATAACTATCATTCCCTATCACACACTATCATTTATTTTCTTTCATTTTCAATTAACTATTCCCTGTCATTTTTTATTTTTTTTTCACTCCCTATCCCTCCAAATCTATCATATCCAAACGTACCGAGCGTTCCACATGATGTCACTTTTTAGCTATGAAAAGATTTTGACATACTTTTCCATTTGGAATAGCATCTTCCTCTTTTCTTTTTCCTTTTTTTGTCCCTGCTCATAGCATTTGCACTTCGATATTGAAAAATTCTCGCCGAGAGGATCTAAGAGATTTGTTTTTAGAATTCGAACCTAGTAGTGGCGGACATTTAAGACCTGCTCTTTCACCACCGCCACAACTGAATCTAAAGGATTGAGCTAGTGTGAAATCAAGGAGTAATGATACTATAGTGGACTTGCGTTGCGTGCAATTTAGGATTAAAAATAGACTGTTCCACTCCTTCCTCCACTTCTCTATGAGAGTTGTTAACATGGTAATGGTTCTCAGGCTTGAAGCCTAAATCATACGAATTTAACATCACAAGTAAATATTATCAAACATACTCAAGTTGAAAGGGTTACTTGCAATTAGATTGCATCAAGCTTATTTCTAATATGTGCACTCAGCTGAATTGCTTGCAGGCAGATAGTATAGTACATGCCTTCCCTTGTCAACAGAACAACACGTATTCAATGTATAACCAAAATATTGAAGTATCTCATTAAGCCAGTTCACAGCACATATCTTTGCCAGACCCCACAGAGAAAATTTCCATATAAAATTTAAAAATACATCTTTATACATCCGACAAGTTATTCCGGATAAATGTAACCCAAAGTCCCAGACACCCTCCAGCTGCAGCCTCATTCCTCGTGCGCCGCTCAACAAGAAATCACCACAGCCAAGGCAGATGACCATTGTCGCGAGCATGAAGGGATTGAATGCAGTGCCTTCTCTTTTGTATCATCTAAGCAAATCCAGATAAATGAGTACAGATTGACTACAATTATTCCCAAGTCCTAGGCTTAAAAATCCTACAGATTTTATATATACATATAACAATGCAGACGATTCGGACATGTAAATCTATGATGGATGCACATTAGTGCATATAGAGTCTACTAGTGTGCAAGTCTTTAAACCATGTCATCGCCATCTGTTTCGCTCTCCCTGCTTTCCTGCCATCCCGATCCCACAGTAAGTTTACACACAGGACACGTGCCTTGCTGTCGCAACCATGGATCGATGCAGTTGGCATGAAACTGCAAAAGAAAATGACAGCTAACTATATTTAAAATTTCATATAAAACAATGACATGAAGAACAAGATACCGACCATCTACAGCTTAGAACTTCAAGTTACTAAATGAGATAGAAGTTTTTAGTCTGTCTGGAATTTTAGGGGGAAGCCCTATTTCAACTCCATCTTTTGCTGTGTTTTCACCATTTTTTCATATATATATATGCGAGGAGTGGAGGTCTACCCATATTAGACATTTAGAACTATATAGTATATTTCAACAATTAGGAACTTGAGACCTGGACAAACATAAAAAGGTAATAATAATAAATAAATAAAACGCTAATAGTCATATTATTAGAGCCGGTATTGCTTTCCACTAATCAAGATGTGCAGAGAGATACAGGTACAGTGTGATTGCCCTTGTGCTCGATCCATGTTCTCCCAATTGGAAACACACAGCTTCCCCTTTTTTTGTCTTGAAAAGAACAGATGATATCAATAAAATTCAGCAAGAACTACAGAAATTTTCAAAAGGAGTAAAATCAATGATAACCATCAGAGAGGGACTGAAGAGATGCACCAACCTAATGGGTAAAAAGTAAAAACTGAAGAAGGAAAATGAAATTCAAGAATGATGTGTGAATCCCACAAATTTACCATTGATTTTAAACATTTTAATCAACAATTTATCGAAATAATTGTAGAAGCAATTAACTTATCAAAAAATTTAAAAAAAAAATTGTACTTTAAATTAAAACCTGCAACTTATAAAACTATATGAGATTATATTACAATCGTTATATTATGTAAAATAATGAAAAGTTGTGCAAAATTAAGACTACTAGGAAATTATAAATTTTGTGAACAATGCAGGTGATACTTCAGTAGTGTTATGATACAGGTTAATTTGTTAATTGAGAAAGAAAGAAAAAATAAATGAGGAAATTGCTAAATAGTCGTCATCAGAGTTGAACATGAACCTGATGCAAACAAGGCAAGCTCCGAACAAGCTCTCCCCTATTAACTTGCTCCAAGCAAATGCTGCATGTTAATTCATCTTCTGAAGCAATTGTGTTTAAATCTGCGTTTTTACAGTCTTGCTTTGGCTGCAGGTGAAAGCAGAAGTAAAAATCTAAAAATCGTCCATAAAGGAGTGCACAAAGTAACGCTACCAATACTATATATTGCCAAGAAACACCAAGGACAACATGTGCGCAGGAGAAAGAGAGGACTAAAAAATCAAAGCATCAATTTGATTTGACAGGGCCAGAAGAAGCTCATGAAAGTTTAGAATTGTGGTTTTCCCAAATAAGAGAGGTGTATTGCAGGCTGTCAGATAGATATTTTAAATTCAGTAGTCAACCCCAGGATCATGTGATATGATGGATGTGGAACCTGTGAGGAGCATTTCTGAATTTATCACGATCATAATTTTGAAAGCTGAAATCTTCAGAAGTTAAACTATATATGAATGAGAACACCCATATATGTGATCAGAGCAATTTTGAAACAAAAATACTCCACAGCACATCTTGTAATCCAAATTGAAACATAGCACTGAGAGATTGCAGAAAGAAGCAAAAACTATAAAACCACTTGTCTACTGCGTAGTAATCAATACCATTTGCAACCTGGCAGCACATCAGTTTAATTTAAGATTCCCTTTTATAAAAGTAGTATTAATTACATAATTCCCATTATAATATCAAACTGGAGGACCACAAGTCTCTTTCTTTTCTTTTTTTTTTTTTTTTTTTTTTTTTGGATAATAATTCAAGACCTTCACCTCAAACCCGTAATTTATCATTAAACCCTACTTTAGTTTTATCAATTAAAACAAAATTTATCCTGAATGTTTTACCCATTACGTATTAATAAAAATGGCAAGGATAAAAGAATTATGTTGATCCTTGATGTAAGCTTATAGTAATTAGAATTTTACTTGGTTTCTACTACCCGCCATGGCCTCATCATGCACGTCCTTTGTCATCTGAATATATCTATTACAAAGTTACCAACTAATTTTTCTCCCTAAAACCTACCATATTACGTATCCAGACCCTACTATGGGCTTTCTACAAACTATAGCAACCATTTACAAATATTTCCAATTCTTTCTCCACCATTCCATTACAAAACAGTAGTTTGAACTTCCATATTTGACCTCTTAATATAAATCCAAATTGCCTTTATCCAATTCTTACTTGTTGCCCAATCCCTCTCTCAAAGTTCCATGGTCTGATGGTTAATTCATAATGTGATAATTTCTACAACCATGAATACCCTTCCTATTTTATATATAGAACTAAATACTTTTTCACCACTCCTCTAGCATTTTCTTAGTATGGTCTTATTAAAGAGTTTTGTTAATGAAAAACATGTAGTATCCCCTTTAGGCTACCAAACATCCAAACCTCAACAAGATGATCCCAGGACAAGTGATTCAGCATAAATATACATATAGAGATACAAGATGTCTCAGAAAAGGAAGTTCTGCATATATGCATCACACCTACACACACCATATGTATGGACACAAACATGCACGCATGCATATTTCGATTAGGAAACAAAGAGACTTGAAGATGCAATATTCAGCATGCAATACACATGATCACTGAAAAGAGATGCTGCCCTCCACGAGTCTATGGTCATGCAGTGAATTCATGGACAGGCCACACACAATAAAATTGCTATAAAGTTTTTTGATAAGTGAAAATGCTATAAAGTTCAAAATTTCTTTCCCTCTTCATTATTCAATAACTATCCAAAACACCCATAAAGCTCAAAGTGACCAAGTAACCATCCAAAACAACTTGCATGTAGCTTAACATCACCAAGCATATACTTACTGATTGTGCAATAAGAATTGAGAAAATAAACTAAAAAGTATACCTCCACTGAGACGGAAGAAGATGAGGCCTGTTGCAGTGATGAGTCCTCCCTGTTAAGAAAGCTGAATTATGTCAACTCATTTCCAATATAAGAAGTCCAATAAATTTCAACAGAACTCTTTGTTCTTCTTCCTTAGTACGAATTTCAACAGAACTATGTAAGTTATTTCCTAAGTAAAATGCCAACCATGCACACACACACACACACACATCAGAGTGATGATTCTCAAGCAAACGTGCACACGCCCACAATATTGCCCCAAACAATGCTCGAACACTATTATTGCCCCTACCAGGGCTTGAACACTTAACCTCCCACTAGGGGAGGAGAGATTATACCATATGGGGCTAACTCAACTCTACTTGACAAACCTTTTTCCCCACTACTAATTCTTGAGATCCCAAACGAGAACAAATATTTTAGTTTCTATATTCTTTTTTCTTTTCTTTTTTTTTCTGGTACTCTTGTTTCAGTAATAACAAGTGACTTAAGCAATCCATAACATGTGTAAGTTTTAAAATAAAAGAGCACGTGCATGAGATGAGTGGCCTTATCCTGACAATATTTTTGTTCCACTAAAGATCATGTGCCCCAAAAAGAATTACAATAACCAGAGTTTAAAAGATGCAAAAGCAAAATATATTTTTTTCACTTCTTTCCCAATCATAAAATGTGTATGTTTGTGTGTGCATGAGAGAGAGAGAGAGGGCACAAATAGTGAATCACCCAGTGCACATCCTGCCTACTTCAGGTGTTTGAAGGGGATAATTTGCCCTAACCTTTGTTGCCTTGCACAAAGTGGTTGCTTAGATACTTGAACCACATCATCACATGTCAGTTCGAGTTCAATAACCCCTTCAGAGAGGGCAGATGTTTAAAAATAAAAAATAAAAACTGAAGAAAAAGAAGAATTCAAAAGAAAAGGTTAAAGGGAAAGTAAAGAAATGCATCCATGCCATTGACATACTCGACAGACTAAGTAGTAAAACTGTACTTTAGAACCCCCACCATTGATTTCCATAATATGCAGAAACCTCAAAAGAGGTTTTTGTAGTTTATTCAAGGTTGCCTTATGCCTTGGAAGCAAATAAAATCCAGATCAATTTTAATGAAGTTTTGAGGAAAAAAAGTGGCCTACATTACTTTGTTAGCGACAAATACTGAAGCAAAGCACTCCTGTTAGAATATGTGCAACCAAAATAAATCTTCCAACTTACTTTTTTGGGTCAGTGACTTTATACTTGTGAACAGGTAAGGCATTGATCTCTTCTTCACTCATTGAAAGAGTTGGGGATGCATTATCAGAATCCAGCGCTCTCAAAGTTTCATAATCTGCAGCAGCATGAACAAAATATTTTATCTTCACCTTTATTCATATAAGTAAACTTTCAAAATACAGCGAAGACCACATAAAGCCTAGTTTCAGTTTGCAAGTACGTCAATGCATCTTAGTTTCTTAAGGGGTGACACCTACACCACATATATCCAATCTATAATTCAGCATAAAGGACCATACCTAGATCATCAAATTCACGGTCAAGGAGTGCAAGCTGGAGTCTCAATCCTTGTAGTCTCCCTCTTGTTGCGAGTGCTATTGATGGTGGTATGTGCAAACGGAATTCAGTACGACCAAGCAAGCCACTGGCAGCTGCAGCATGAGCTTGGGCCTGAGCTTGAAGTTGTTGGCAAGTCGCATACATCCTAAGGCTTGTGGCCGCCAAAAAAATACCAAGAAATAGCCAGATCTACATGCATGCATTCAGAAGAATACCACTTAAATTGCTATATACAAAATATGCCTATGAGGCTAAGAAATATCAATAAAAAACATGCCCATGTTAGACATTAAAAGAGAAATTACCATAAAGTTTGGTGACATCTGGTGAGAATTCAAAATTGTGAATAGCAAAAGAACTGCCAAGCAAACAAGAGTTATGCATGGATAAGATTTGCACACTAATAACATTGCAAACATCTGGAACAAAACATATAGATAGAAATATTACCTGTGACAAGAAAAGCCAGTGAGTTGGTATTGATTGGCCGGGCTGCATGTACACGCTGATAGAGGCAGGAAGAAGACTTGGTGACGTGAAGATTATTTAACTACTATGTCATATAAAAAAAATTATGGGTACCAAAGTACATAAAAAACATGTACAAGTAAACAAACATACCATAGCACGCCGTTCAGCAGGAATGAATCCTGAAAATCCACTTTCAACATCGGATCTAGCCCCACGAAAAACAAAACTCATTGTTGCAGGAGTTTCAAGAATACCCTCTTATCTAAAAGTAACAGATCATGAAAATGAATTCAGTATACCACTTACCAGACATAATTCTTCCAAACCGTAAAAGATTGAAAATGTTTCAGAAGCATATATAACACAAGCTTAAATCAAGAATAAGAAAAATTAAGCCATGTGTGCTTGCCACAAATGATTAACATAATTTAGATATTCTGAACGTGAATAATGATATGCAGAAGGAAAAAAAAAAAAAAAAAAAAAAAAACAAGAAGAAGAACTTGATAGCAAAAGCAGTGACTATCATCAATTCTAATTTTGTACACAAATTGAACCAACCCTCACAAACCTTTATTTAAAGTTGCAGTAATATTGCACGAAAATTTATCATCTGCAACTAAAAAACTACAGTCCCAGTTACCAAGCAGCTGCCGTTAAGAAATTCAAGTTCTGTTTCAACTTTTATGTATTGTATTAGCATGTAAAAAAATTGTGGCATCAATAAATTTCAAACAAACAGCATTACTTACACTATGTCTACCATTTCAGTAATGTGGTGTGTACTCACAGGTAAAAAGTTAAAAACCAGGGTAATAACCTTGGTTCTGGCATAGAAAAATTCTACTCATAGGATATAGATATATATTATAGAATCTCCTCTATTTTCCAAATGGAAAAAGTTAAGGATTCAAGTACACATAAAGGGGCCATTGTGGGTGTGTGCATCTGTCTTTCCAGAAAAAACTAACTTTTGAAACACTAATCCGAAGGTAAAATAAATATGCAGAGCGGAATTTGCCAACCTAGATCCTATTGAACTAACAAATTATAGATAAGAAACAAAACTTTGTCTGTCTATATTTAAATATGTTTAAGTACATGAAATATGTAATGCCATATTCCCACCTCCCTCCAAGGTGAAACATATGCTCGGTTCGATCAAGTTCCTTATCTCACCGTGAATCGAACGTTTATGACAAATTTTGTGAATACCAATCTATGAGGCATATTGTACCAATTCTTTTTGTGTAATGTATTTGAAAATCCTTGTTGACGCCTTATTAACATTAAAATAAGCATATATTAACATCATTTCAGAGACAACTAGTAAATTTCAAAATAACTTTCCCAATTTTCTCCAATTCGTCACTAAGATCCTTGGATCCTCACTCTTGATGAACTTGTTATCATCACAATCTCTATTTTTCTCTCCCAAAGTTCTTACAAATATCTATCTAACTTAGAATCTCTATACATCGTCCTATTAATACCTACTCATATGGTATTAATAAAACCCATCTGACCCAAAATTAAATGCTAACTCAGAACCACAATGCCACATTAAACCACCACCAATGTATGTTCTACATTACAAGTATGATAGGCAATTTCCGCTCATTTTGCTTTCTAGAATGATTGAATAAAACTCCAATCAGCCAAAAAAAAAAATCAGTGATTAGCAAACTCAAACATGATCATGCGTATCAACCATTCAACCATAGAATTAACAATTCCCCAACCTACATTGTACGGATTCAAGCCAGATTAAAGAAATGAAACCCTAAACAGATTCACTTAATCAAAAAGAAAAAAAATGGGGAAAGTGATGGGAGTTACCTGCAGATGCGAAACCCCAAAGCAGAGAACTGAGACTTGGAATGTAAAGAACGCGAGAGGAGAGAGAGGAGAGAGGAGAGAGGAGAGAGAGAGATCAAACGGTGTCGGTGTGTATCTTTGCGCGACCCAAACGCACTCTTTTGTTTGGAGTCTCGGACATATTATTTGGTTTAATTGGATTTGTTTTTGGGTGTATTTTTTAATTAATTTCAAGAGCAGTGGTGGTTGACATGTCACCTTTGCGTTTGATCTCACACTGCCACAGTGCCACGACTTGACTCACCATGCAATATAGTATTAATAAATACATACTTGCACCCAATTAATATAATTTATAAATAATCCAAAAATCCAAACAAATCTTATCTTAATAGTAATATGGGTTGTTGTTTGAATGGATTTTCTAGTTAAATCCCAATCTAATAAACTTAATGCAATCAATTTCTAAAATTCAAATTTAAACTTATAATTCAAATCAATATATTTGAATAGGATATCAGATTAGATTACAATTTTGGGTTGAATATAAGGAAGGTTTGATGGTTGCAATAAAATGGTATAAAAGTAATTAACAATCATTAATTAATCAAATGGCTGATTATTTTCAACAAAATCAGCATGAAATTAATCCTCTTAAATGTGAATTAAAATGAAATTAACTTTTCTTCTTAAATGTGTGTTAAAATGTAATATTTCAACACTATAACATGAAATTTCGATTATATATGGAGTTTATGATTTTTAAAGCAAGAAATATACTCATTACACATATTTTGTTCTAAGAACTTGAACTCTCGACCTTCGATTTTAGAAGGTGAAAAAATATCATAAACTACAACTTTTGAGGGTAAATTTTATGATCATGAAATCTATAAAAATTGTTGAATTTCATAATGGTGAAAATTGGTGGTGGTAAATTTTATAATTATGAAATTCATAAAAATTGTTGAATTTCATAATGGTGAAATTCATGATGGTAAAAACATTGAGAGGGAAGAAGAGAATGTTAGGAAAAAAAATATTAATAATTATTTGGACAAAAATGTCAATTCATTGCTACTAATTCTTTTACTTAATTTATTATTACACTAATCAAATAATAAGAGTAATTCTATCTTGTTCGTCGGCTTCAGATGGTAAGAGAGGACGTCACTAAAAATGTCTTATAAAGCTTCATTTCTAATTGATCAATATATTTAATTCATAAAATAAATGTGTTTCACTGCAAAATAATAATAATAATAGTAATTAAAAAATAAAAAATAAATAACTGTAGAAGATTCGGAATAGGGATGGCAATTCGTGTTCGTTCCATTTAATAATTGTGTCAAGAACTCTCAATATTAACTCGATGTATTTATTAAACGGATAAAAGTGTTAATCCATTTAATAATATTTAATATTTAATCAAATAATAAATAATAGAATTTTTTTGTCACAATTAACCCAGATTTTTAAAATAAAAAGAAAAATTATAAGGCATAGATAAAATTTATGTTGAATTGATTTAACTATTTATAATAATTAAGTTTAAATAGGAAACATATTATATCAGTTATATTTACGATTATAACATATTGAATTAACCGGATCATAAATAGATTACACGAGTTAAACCCTTCGTTCCTTACGCGGCACGATTAAATAAATAAGTTAATCACTTAATCGTGTTAACATATTTATGATTCGAACTCCTATAATATTAATTTAAATTCACTTATCTCGCATGCAGGAGCGTGTGACTGTCTTTTTCCTCTGTTGGGCAGAAGAAAACAAAACCCACCGTCCTTCTTCAAATTCCTTTAGACACCCAAATTAAACTATTTAAGCTAATTGCATACCCAGCTGGCCCACTTTGAGGACTTTCCTTTTGCAAATAGCACCAAAACTGTACGAAAATATGTTAAGTGTCAACTTAGCAGCCGTTCATTTGGGGAATTTTACGTTTAACTAAACTTAAATATGCCTAGTCACCGCATTAATGGAACGTCACTACTACTACTTTTCTACTTTTTTTAACCTTTTTGCGGGTAACTTCAGTGTCAATGGAGGAAAAAACAAAAAAAAAAATAGGAACTTAAACAATGACTTGTCCAGTAGAATCTAACAAACCCTTAATTAAACAAATCAGATGAGAATTCTGGTTACTTTAATCCATTTGATATAATTTAATATTATAATATATAATTTTTATATATTTTCATAATGTTTTTGTAATAGTTGTTTCTTCTTCCCCCTTGGTCTCTATTTTCTCTTCAATTCTTCAAGTGTTTAACAAAAAGTAAAAGATTTATTTTTCTTTCATATTTTATTGAATTAATTACACAAATCTCTCTTATAATTTATTACAATTACAAAAATTTCTTCTAAGATTTGAGAAATTACACAAATACGATCAAGGTAGGTCAATAACAAATTTTGCATATCGCGTACTGAATAAATTAAAATATCTAAAATACCCTCATATTTTCCACTACATGTACACGTGTGTAAACTGTGTAAATTATATACATGGTTAATTTCTTCTATTCAATTGGTCATGCTCTAAAATTCTCAGCAAAGGAAAAACATCATGGGTTGTATGTGTAAACTTTGGACTTCCAAATAAGAGGAAATACAAGGCAACTTGTCTCTATACTCTCACTCTTTCTCTATAAACAACAGTTAACTAACAAAAACCCATCCATTTTCATATTTGAACCCAATTTTCAACTCGCACCGGGAATGGCTTCTCCGGAAGCCCTTTCCCGTTTCAGTCAGTTCCTTATCCCCTAGAAATGATCATCAAGAACGGCTCGTAGCGCAAGCACCCCAAGCTCTTCCACCAATGCAAAGCCCTTCACTAGCAAATCACTTCCCCAGAAAAGCCACATCTCAGTCCCATTTCACTGGACCAATCAAAGCCCGACCCCTAATCCCTCCCTGGTGTCCTTAACGACGGTGGCACCACTGAATTCTCCCTTGCCAACTCTGAGCTCATTCTCAGTCCCATTGTCAACGCCTGTGGTTCCGGAAATCTCGAGATCGCCGAACCTTGTCTTGATCGTGTTCAGAAATTGATCGCTCGTGGCCTCCTCCACGGTGAAACGGACCCCGGCCACTGGTGACCCCAAGGAAAAACTGTTGGCGAAACTGATCGAATTGGTATATAAGTGTAAAGATTTGGGTGACAAGGGAGTTGAATTGTTGGTTCTGAGGACGCTATTGTCGGCGATGACGTCGATGTCTCTGTAGATAAACGACGATTGTTAAGTCTCTCACACACACACACAATATAAACATATGAGTAGTTTAATCATTAACCATAGAAACTTAAGGGCATTTTAGTAAATTAGAAAAGTCTTAGTCCAGTTGGTGGTACGGGAGGGCAAATCTATATAGAATATTTTCTTTTTTAAGAGGGATTCCTTTAATTATTGTATACCATAAAGGAGATCCGCATGATTAACCATATTTTATTTGTCTTCCGTTTCATATTTTAAGGTAAATTGTACTCACACCCATTGAGACTTGATTCAATGCACTAATTTACATTGACACCCTTTAAAGTTTCAAACGTTTACATAGACACCCCCTCTACCCGAGAAAAATGACCATTTTAATCTTTGACTTGGTCAACAAATACATAAAAGGGTAAATTACTAATATAACCTTATAAACTATAATTTAAAGGATCAAAATACCCTTCGTTTTACATTCTCTCTCTAACCCACCATACCCTCTATGTCTCTTACATACACCACCCGATACCCACAAACATATACCATCTCTGTCTCTATCTCTATCCCTCCCATACCCTCTCTCTCCTGACACCACCCACCACTGCCCTTTCATGAGAAGCCCACCATACCACCGTCGTTGCCACCAACAATCAGAAGCAACCACCACCACTGTCGTCGATCAGAAGCGAGGAGATCAGAGGCAAAAGCCACCACCGCTCGCAAATTAGAGGCATGATCGACAATTGAAGTGGCAACAAAGATTTGTTCGGTGATGCCAACAGTTTCAACAATTGTAGCAACGAACACATATCTTCTCTTTGCCGTCAGTAATTTCGCATGGGTAGGGTTAAGATTGAGCTTTGTGGTCCAACAGCTTACTCTGGCAGTGTGTGGGTATGTGGGTATGGCGATGGTTGTGGTGGCGTGTGGGTTTGACCCAAATACGGTGTGTGTGGCAATGAGTGTTGTGGTTATGGCGGTGGGTGTGTTGTGTTTGATGCGGCGGTGTGCGGTGGTTGTGGCGGTTGCAGTGGCGTGGGTTGCAACGGCGTATGGGTGTGGCGGTGGTGGGTGAGGGGAATACAGAATATTGATTAGGGTTATTTTTGTCAATTAACAAGTTCAGGGGTAAGGGGTAAATATGACTTTCGAAACCTCAAGGGCTGTGAGGCAAACTAGTGGGTTGACCCTCCACTGAGTGACATTGACCCAAACCTCATGGGGTGTGAGTGCAATTTACTTAATATTTTAATAATTATTTTGTGCTTCCCTCTCACGTTAATTTTTTTTCATATATATAAATATATATATATTTAATGAATCATATATTCAATTAGTAACAAATCAAATATGAATTATCCATTGAATTATTGCAAGAAAAGCCTTATCAAATGAATAATGCTCAGCAGACAGCTAAGAAATCTTCTGGCTTAAACTAAGGTATGTTTGAAAGTAGGAAGATTGGCAGACAAACATATACTAATGGTCGAAAGGATAAGTTCGTTATAGAAACTTTGACAATATGCCAACCCAGTCAATTAAAGATCAATAATTGAGCTTATCAATAAAAAAAGAAGTAAATATAAACATCTCTATCAGCTTTAATTTAGAACAACGGAAGGAGTTAGATATTGAGCGTGACACACCTTTTTATTTAAGGAATGTGAGCAGAAACTTATTTTGTTTATTTTTTTAATATTGAAAAAGATTGAAATTTTTTTTTTTTTTTGGTGTTATTTGGTTTGTAATTCTACAAATAATTGTTTTTGTTTTTAGAGAATCAAAAATTAGAAAATTATACAAAAATTATGTTATAAAAGATCTATTTTTAGATAATTATCTTTTATAATTCTCTAAAAATAATTTTATGTTTTCTGAATTTCTGATAATTATTTTCAAAACTTATTTTTATTCAAATTACAACTCAAAATTTCGAAATTTGAAAATATACTTATTCTCTCTCTCCAGGTGTCATAAAGTTGAAGCATTAAAATTCACATGCCTGTTGTGTTTTTTGTTCTTTTAAAAAAATAAATAAATAAAATTGACTGCCACTAGCCACTCGCAAGAAGCCGAAATTCTAACTCTATTTAGTGGTCACTCAAAGGACAACAAAATTTACACCAATGAAGTGCTAACCGTAGTGGCTAGAGTGAGGACTGTGGCTTAGCACTCGTCTTTTAAATGTTCCACGATAATAGATTTTTGCAAATGGAGGACAATAATTAGCTTTCGACCATCTAAAGCTTTTGCTAAACACTGCAAATACTAGTAGTACTAAAATCTCAAGTAGAGATACTAATAGGTTTTTTTGCATTGGATACCATAGCACGGCAGGATTTGTGGCCTCAAAAACATAAACAAATCATTAGGCTCAGTTGCTTTGGAGATGCACTTCAAATGTGTGTTTTTGGATCTATTTGATTGGGTAAAAAAACAGAAAAACAATAAATTTGAACTCTCAGATGGTTTGTAAATCCCGGATGTAGTCCCAAATGGTTTGTAAACTCTGGATGTTGATCCCAGTACGTAATCGAAGTGCAAACCAGAACTTTAAAACCTGATTTTTACAATTTAGAAACTCTGATAAGAGCTAAAAATTCCTGGTAATATGGTGTGATACAGATTACAGACTATCTACAACAAACAAAAACCAACATTTAGTTCCTCTGAGCCAATGGTCCATTTTAGTATTATTGAGTGCTAAAGTTCCTGTGCCTTCCTAGAAGGCCGACACAAATACTATTTCTGAGAAAAAAAGAACCGAAAATAGAAACCTTTATCAGGAAAAACGAGTGGCATCTACTTAAAAGCAATTCATTCAAGACATAGAACTTTAAGATTGTGGTTAGCACATGCAAGAGAAGACAAAACAAGCTTTCACAAAAGGAGTAAAAGTAAAAAAAAAACAGGAAAGACTTTATATGATCATAATTGAATTTACAACAAAGGAATTACAAAGGAATCAACAAGTAGTTCTAGAATTGGGGTTAGCAATCAACATTTCTACTGTTTTCACAAAATTTTCTCAGTTCCCAAACACAACTCAACACAAAAGTTCTATAAAAAGGAAAAAACCTGATTTGAGTCATATATACCAACATTACTCCATTTCATGAATAAAATAAAACATTCTGTCTCTAACTATATGAATATGAGACCTAGTAATATTTGATGATTGCACATTGCATGCTATTTACAATTCAAAAGTTCCCTTTTTTTCTGAATTGGAGACCATATCATCAATCATCAACAAACAACCCAATGATTCACTGCTATATCAGTCCGTAGCAACCCGATTTAATGTGTTAAAAATAGATTTAATTGGGTTGCAAAATTACAGTACAGAACCCGATACAGCAGAGGATTCAGACCGATCAACATCACCACCTTGACATTTCATTCTGGTCTTCCAAAACCCAAGCTCTGCTACGCCTCCTCACCAGCCTACTGAAAACAGAACCAGAATGACTCTGACTTCTGGTGATGGTAGACTCAGATTCTGAACTACTACTAGAATGATGTGACGAAGATGACAATCGTGAAGAGGAAGAAGATCTAAACCTCCCTAAAAACGAGAACAGGCCACGAAAAACTCGGCCTAATCCACTTCGACCTGCTCTGCCTCTTCTTGATGTCCAAGTGATCCTCCTCGGAGCACCACTGTGATTGAACCCACCATCCATTTCTGTGAAAACGACAGGAAGTTCTCTTTCACCTGCTCTTCTTCCCCAAGCAAACCTCCCCACCGCGAACCCACCACCGGGTAGTCTCCATATGGTCAACCCAACTGTCTCTTCGTCGGTTGGGGCCTCGGATTGGGTTTGATTGCCGGAATCCGACGGGTTCATGCCGGTGTCGGTGGGTAATTCGTGGCGACAAACGGGGCATGAATTGCGGAGAGAGAGCCATGGGAGGATGCAATCCGAATGGTAGATGTGCTTACAGGGCATTTCGCGGGCTTCTGAGCCGAGAACGAAGGCTTCTTTACACACGGCACAGTGCGATTCAGTGTGGATGTGCGTCGCCACTATCTCAATCGTCGGCATCGATTCCACGGCGGATTTCGACGCCGGCGGATGCTCAGAACGGCCCAAACCGTTGACTTCGATCTGCGCTAGCTGGTCGAGCAATCTATCGAAGCCGGAACCCATCAGGAGCTCCGACATGGTCGCCGGAAGCGGTCGAAGGCCCGACCCGGCTCCATCGTCGTAGTACAATTCAAAACTCCTCCTCTCTCCGCCTCCACCACCCCCAGCACCACCGTCATCCCCGGCGCCTTCAGCCGGACCGCGCAATACGATGACCGGATTAAACGGAGACCGGTCGCCGCTGCTACGCCGGCTGCGGTGGAACCCTAGATTCCTGCTCTGATCTGAATCTGGAGATTCTGAACGGTGGCTCCCCAACATGTACATCCCGGCTGTAGGGAATCGACGGCGAGAGCCCGATTGGACGGCCGGTGAGCTGGTGCCGACGGCCTCGATAAATCCACCGTCACAGTACGGACAAACAACACTGCCTTCTTCACCCCCAGCCCTAACGAAGCGAGTGCACCTATAACACCAGTACGACCCCGTTGATGACATCTACACACCAGCCCTAGTAGATCTTGAGCTAAGGAATCAAAATCAGTCGAGTCCTTAAAAGAGAGAACGAGTTGACTCTGAAGTTTCAAATCACTCGCAGATCTGATAAATCAATACATACACACACCGGAAATGAAACAAAACAAGCGGGGAATTATATGCCTATATAGAGAGAGAAAGTATGTGCGTGTTTTAGAGAGAGGGGGGAAATGGAGATGAAACAAAACCGGCGGTGGATGAAACAAAACCGGCGGTGGATATATATTAGTATATGTTAGAGAGAGAGTGCGTGTACATGTGCGTGTCTTAGAGTGAGAGAGGGGAAATGGAGATGCGTTGAAGAATGTGAATGGAAAGAGGTGGGGGTTTTAAAACACGCGTGATGATGGTTTTAACGGTGGAGAAGCGTTCACTGGGAGATAAATTAACGGCATGGCTCATGACGGCGTTAGTTGTGCCGCGGGAATGGACCGGTCCGTTTGTAAATTATGAAGAAAGGAGAGAATCGGGCCGAAACGTGCGTTACGCCGAGTGCGACTCGCAGGGAAGGATGTTGACTATATTAAAGGGGGAATTTGAACGATTAGAACGCCGAGTTTGAAAATCAAAACTACGTAGTAACCGATTATTATTACAGAAGATTCCTAACGAACGATGTAGAAGACGCGTGTTAATTGGACTGTAATGGAATTTTCTACGCTCTTTCATTAATCAATTTTATCCACCTTTAATTCGTGTTATTAAAGATTTTACAGTATCAATTTACATTCAAATCATCAAGTTTGTACCGAGAATTTCAATTCACATTCAAATCTTTAAATTTGTGTTGGGAAATATAATTAAAAAATCAAATTAAGGTCAGGATTGTTTTATTTTAAATTTATAAATTAAAAAAAAGGATAAACAAACGTAAACAATGATCTTTCTGAAATTCTTTTTCATCGTCTGAACTTTGAACATTGGATGGTGACTTGGCCGCAACTCGGGTAGGTTGGGCAGATTTAAGATATAATTTAAGCCCAATTCACCATATAAAATGTTAAATCCAAACCCAACTTTAATCCTATCATCAATCCTAACTATTAAACCCGAGTCTAACCCATCCTTTTATTTTTAAATTTGGACTTACAACTCGGGCTTACATTTCGTGTTAAAACTTCGGTTAATTCGGGTTATTCGCTAATCTTCACATCAAAAATTTCATATCATCTTGAATTAGTTTTAGATTAAATTACTCTTAAATAAGAAAAAATTCAAAGACTTTTTGTAGATTTTTAATAAATTACAAACAAATTCTTAAAAAATTAAGTCTCCTATTATAATATATATCAAAATAATATTATAATTTGGGTTCAGATTGCTAGCACTTCAACCCAATTCTAACCCTAATTTAAATCTGGTTAAGATTTTTCACCCTAAGCCCAACCCTAATTATAAAAATAATTACCCAAGCCCGCAAAAAATTGAACTGAGCTCAGGTTGGGTTCGGGTTTCTCAACCCAAGTTGCACCCCTACTTTGGGTACAATATAATACCACGTGTGTATAAATTACTCTCCCAAATTTAGATAGAATCTTAAAATTTTCAATATTTTATTAAATTTTCAACTTGTATTTTCACGTGTGTGGAGACTTTTTTGTTTTTGTTTTTTTATGTAGTAACAAATTCACGCATCCATTTATTCATACTAGGTAATTTTTTAAGGTAAAGAGATAAATTTAACAGTATTTTTAATCTCAACTAAATAATTTTTTGAGTTGGATTCGACCGGTGATATAAATTGGATCTTGAACTTGACTAGGAGTACGCAAGAGATCAACCAATTTATTTATTTATTTATTTATTTTGCACGTCAATTTTACTTATTCACTTGCGAAATATATGATTCTATACAATTTTTAAAAAAATATATAAATAAATCTATACGAAAATATTTTAGTTTTATACGAGGAAAAAAAAAACTTGTATCCTTTAATAAACTGCCGAATAATTTATTTAGAATCGAATTTAATTTAAATTAATTACTTGAAAAGTAAGAGCATAAGCTTAACAATTCCTATGGAGTCCATTTTTTCACGAGCTAAACCTCATTGTATTTGTATCCCAAATCCCAGTGGACTCACTTAAAACAAAATAAAATAAAATAAAACAAAATAAAATAAATCCCAGTGGACTCACTCAAAGGTAATATCACTTTTTCAAAGTTGGCTTGAAGTTGCTATCTCCTTAATTTAAAAAATTAAAAATATATATATGGCCTCATTATCATTGTAGTGTATTTTAATCCTTTTATTGAAAACACTCTCATGAGTTGGAGATTTTCACTAGCTAACGTACGTTTACGTTTTGGTAAGTTCACCAAAAATGTACCGACTACCAATAAGTCTTCAACATGGCATTTTTGAATTTTCAAAGTAACTTATCTTGGGTGGTATTTCTCAATCCTCCTTCATTGGTCAAAAGTTAAAACAGTATCTTGCTAGGAGAAAAGAGATACCATAATTGTTATTCGTATTATGGTAAAGCTTAAAAAAAATCCTACTATATAAAAATTGTGGTTTTTTAAAAAGTATATATAAATTTTTATATTTTGAAATTATGTACAAATTGTCCTTTGTTCAACAAATTTGATTATTTTTTTTTTTAATAAAAATCCCAAAATGCACTCAAGGCTCCGTTTCATTAGATGGAAATAGTAAAAAAAGGATGGAAATAAAAAATGAAAAGAAAAGTGAAGTGAATGCAAAAGAAAAAATTGGTTAAGATGAAAATTTATTCAAGAAAATTGTAGAAAAATATTATGTTATAGTTTAGATACATAAATTGTCCTTATTTTATAAAAAAGGTAAAATAATAATAAAAAAATTAATTAGTAGTATTGCATAATGTATATAAAAAAAATGATGGAGTTTTTAATTAATTTAAACCTTGTAAACTATTATTTATTTCATTTACATATGATGGAAAACAACAAAAATGAAATTCAAGTTAATTAATTAAAACCCTTTCAAAGATAAAGTTGTTGTTGAACTGCAATTCTTTGAAACCCATTAAAAAAAATAAGATAAAATTGTTGTGTAAAATAATGCAATGAAATTGTTGGGTAAAATAGAAACTCAAAATAAAAAGATATTAATTTTTCGAATTTTTTCTTTTCTATCTAATCAAGTTCCTAAAAAAATTCAAAATTTTCTATTTCCTTTTTTTTTTCTCATTGATTCTATCTAAACAACCGAAACTAGGGAATTTTAGGTATTTATGCTTTTAGTAAATAAAAAGTATAAATAAATAAATAAACTAACTAAAATTAAATTATAAATAGATAATAAAATAATTAAAAATAGAAAAAAAAATCAATAAAATTTTGGATTTTATAAAAATGACCTTATTATTTATTATTTATTTTAAAAATTATTTTTTATTAATTTTTAAAATTTTAATTTTAATTTTGTCTTAAAGTCATTTTAGGCATTTTAGTCTATTTAAAAATTGTTCTTATTTGCTCAATTGAAAAATATAAGGAGGTTTTTTTTAACACCAAAGAGCATTTGCATATTCAGTATATAGTAGAGGGTTTTTGGCACTTTACCCACATATATATATATATGCATGTATGTATATATATATATATATATTTTAAACAAGAGCTGACAAAAAGAAAAGAAAAAATAAAAACTGTGGAGCCCACTGTTGGTAGGCCCCACAACTCCATTGTGTCTTTCTAGGTTGTTAAGTCTTCGGCACCAATATCAGGCTGAAAATGAAAATTAAAAAAGAACATGTTACATCTATTTGGTACGTACGCGTTTTTATTTTTATATATTTATTTTAATTTAATAATAAAATAAATGTTTTGAATAATAATTAAAAATATATTTGATAATATCTATTTATTACAAACATTTTGTAAGTAAAAATATAAAAACATGTTTGGTAAAAAAGTATTGTAAATTATAAAAATATAATGACTAGTTTAAAAAAATGATTTCAAAATTTTTCAATATATATATATATTTTTTGGATACTGTTCATTGTTGCATTACCTGTTGCAATAGTGTGAAAGTATATAAAAACACTAAATTGCTATAGTGATTCACGTTCACTTTTATAGTACCGACAAAAATAAGAACACCAAAAATAAAATACATACCAAATAAACCCTTAGACAAATAGTAGTTACATTAACCGCCAGTAATTAGTTTATTCCTTATAATTTGTCCTTTCCCAAATGCAATGGGAGAGGTTCGAGCCTCCTAATAAGTACTTGTGGGTGTCATAATAAATTTTTGTGGGCATGGAGAGTATTTACTTGGAATTTTTTTTTGGTTAAATGGACTTTATATTTGAAAGGACCAAGGAGCCAAGTCTAACTCAATGTATTTGTTTTATTAGAAGTGGTGTAGTACTAAAAAAAAAATGTATTTATTTAATTAAAAAGCCATCCAAATAATGTTTGATTTAACCATGTTAAAGCTATCCAATCCCCGAACAGTGAAGTAAATATCTGGAATTCCTACAAATTCTAGATCCACGTGAATATATATATATATATATAGAGAGAGAGAGAGAGAGAGAGTGACATATTCTGTATGAAATGCCATTTGTATTACATGGTTGGAGAGAATGACATATTCTGTATGAAATGCCATTGGTATTACATGGATTTACATGGTTGGAATCCAGCTGAGAAAGTACATATATATATATATATGTATGGAGAGAGAGAGAGAGAGAATGCCATTGGTATTCCATGGTTGGAATCCAGCTGAGAAAGTATGTGTGTGTGTGTGTGTGTGTGTGTGTGTATCTATATATATATAAGGTACGATCTCAGCCCACACAACAAGGACATACAGTCTCCTTTGTCATAGGCAAGGGGGTCATCCCTGCCCAGTTAGTAGTACACCATGAAATGCCCAAATTAATGGAGGACCTGGACACCAATATATATTAGCATAGCATCTTTCTGGTCCCCCTCTTTTCATCCTCATTTTTAGAGATGCCAAAAAGTGACACTCTTCTTCCTCTTTCCCTCATTTTTGGTGACAGTTCAAAAGAGGATGTTTTGTGCCCCCCACTCATTTGCATCTCTTCTTGCCCACTCATTCTAAAGGCCACCATATATTTATAGGTGCCTAGAGTTCTGTTCTGGTGTTCTTGTCTACAATTTGATCTCCACTTTTTTATATTCGTTTTTTTTTTTTTTTTTTTTTTTACTTTTGTCATGAATTTTAATGTTCATGGTCCCTCCTATTTCTTTCCAATATATCTCCTTTCTTTCACAAAATGAAGAAATATACTTATGTTTTCCATTACATAGAACTTGGAAGCATTGCCCTATTGTTTTCACTGATTTAAATTAATATTACCCACCTGCCCTTTTTCCTTTCTTCATTCTTTAGTTAATTAGGCTTGGAGAAATGTTAAGTGCAGTCATGACTGATTATGGTGACTTGGACCGGGTGGACAATTAGATAAAGCAGCGGATGCTGTAGCGAGACTGATTGCAAAAGAAGAGAAATCGGCCACATTTTAATATCCAAAAACTGCTTAGCAATAGTCAGACTATCTGAGTCTTTGAATTTGTGAATTCATCTATCGAATCTCTACGGTCTGGAATCCTCCCATCCCACTTAGCTAGGATTCAAAGGCCGAATTTAATGTCGGTACACGTGTGTGTGTGTGTGTGTGTGTGAGAGAGAGAGAGAGAGAGAGAGAATTTGGATCTCCTATTTCTATTACTTCATCGTGTACAACACCTTGAACTCGTTACATCAAGTACTTATCCATTATGCAACAATATGGCCCAGCTTATGTTACGACGACAATTTTTTCTACATATATGTTGCACTCCAATGCAATGTGTCATATTAACAATCTAAATGCACTATGGAACCACGACACGAGAACTTATCATATAGTTTTGGGTCAATTATCAGTTGACATCTAAATAAATGTGTAAAAAATATATAAATTTTATTTAGCTTTTTGTTCAAGTGTCCGGTAATAATTGACAGTGACCAACAATTCTTTCTTTCAAAGGCACAGATCTCCTCCACGTGAAGGGATCCGCTGTATTCTATATGTACAAGAGATAATACGTAGTAGTTTTTGTTTTGTTGATTGCCCTATTCGTTCAATTATTAATTAGTCCGCACATCATTGAGATGGAGGCTAGTCAAGGCGTGCGTGGACGCAGCATCATTTTGGTCATGTATTGCTTTTCACTACCACGTTTTTATATAGAGTATGGGGTTTCTATAGATCTTGACATTCTTTGACCAAATTTATGTGCAATCTGAGACTATTAGAATGAGTTCCTCTCTATATTTTATATACAATCATCAAGCTCCTTTGTCATGTCAAAAGAAACATCATCTCTCTCTCTCTCTCTATATATATATATATAGTCAACTGGTTTCCTCATGTAGGTTTTAAGCCGATTTATTGGGCCAAGCAATTCAAGGACCACCCCAAGTTTGGATGTGTTTTGTTTAATACTGTTGACTTAAGCCGTCGAGCCCATACATATATCATTGCCTCACATAGCATCATAGATAATTCATGGGCTTTAATTTCAGCCCGCGTCAGTGACATTTTTCATAATTTTGTATTAATTCACCTTCTTTGATGAAGAAAAAGTGGTGTTCTTGTTTTTGTTTACTTACTGAGTTTTATTTTCATCATCTTCTTTAATATAAAGCTAATTAATATAAAATCCCTCCTTTTTAAAAAAAATGTAAAATTTAGTGTTCGGGATCTCAGGTGTGTGTGTGTGTGTGTATATTTATGTGTGTGTGTGTGTGTGTGTGTCTGTGTGTGTGTGTGTGGTTCCTTACTTGACAACATCATAACATCAAATATATATGTAAGATGTGTTGGGTTATTTCACCCACAAGTGAAAAAAGGAGAACGAAAGTATCATTGCTAGTATGAGTAGCATTGTTGACCACTAACGTAATTTGTTGCTAGTGTGTTGGTTTCGTTAAAAAAAAAAAGAAAAAAAAATACTTTTGCATTGAGCCAACGTATAGCTTGCCTATTGTCTACCACCCTCCCGCATAGTTTGTCACAATCACTCTTAGGACTCCAACTCACACTTTCGGCAATGTTTTGGGTCCAAAGCCTTAGTGATTTTGTTCTTAAGTTTTATTTCAAAATATTTTGTACCATTTGAAGATACGATTTTATTTAATTTCATCAAATGAAGTCAAAGAGAATATAAAACTTTGACTAATTCGTATGATTTACTGTAAAGGAATTTTAATATAAAATTGCGATTGTATAATTTTCATACTATATTTTTTAAAATAATTAGTGCCTCAAAAAAAAAAAAAAAAAAAAAAAAATATATATATATATATATATATATATATATATATATGATCACCATAAAAATAAAGATAACTCATGAGCTATTCTATTTATATTTGCTACAATACCAAGATTCTTCTATGCAATATACAATTGGCTTTAATTAAGTTGGCTCAACTTCTCAAGTTGAAAAAAAAAAAAAAAAAAAAAAAAAAAAAAACTACTCAATTTATAAAAATTAAGTCACAATCACATGATTTATTGCGATTTCAATTCAAATACTTTTCGACCATATATTAAGTGAAGAAGTGGTCGTATATGATGGCCTTGATAGGCCAAGAGAATTAAATGTTTTATCTAATTTTAAAATGTCTATGTCTTCACAGGATAAATAGTGCACTGTCACCATCCATACTTCCATGGCACTGTGCCACATTAAAATACATTTAAAGGTGCAAATATAAGGATTAATCTACGACTTTCTGGTTAACTATAAGAGAGAAAATAATAATTTAAGAATATAATTGGATAATTATCGAATTCAATTTACGTGAGTGTAGTAGTAAATTTCACTATATGATGTAATATAAAATCATCATTGTCTTCACATAAATTAAATTATTGAATTCGATTTCTAAATCACGAGAAAATCTAGGTGTTGTATACTTGAAATCTATCAACAGTTGAATCATTCATTAAATAAGTTACATGATCGCACTACCACATTCAATGGCTAAGAACTTCATGGTAGGGTATTGTAAACTTTTTACCTCACGCATGGCCGTTATTAAAAGGAATAGCAAGACATAAAAGCATGGTGGGGAAGAGCACATGAATGACATGATCTATCAAATGCTCTGTGTGTGTGTGTGTATACATATTCACTTGTTTTGCTGATGCAGAAATCTTCCCCAAGTGAGAAGACATTTGCTAATTATTGTTATGTGATACCAACCCAAGTGGATCAGGAGGAAGTCGCTTTCTCATAGGGAAATAATGAAGTTGTATTTAGAAAATTGGTAATATATAGATTAATTCTTTATGTATCTTAATGGATATCTATGTCTCCATAAATTATAATTGTTTGGCCTATTCCATGCTCAATTTATGCATGTCTGAGTGGTAACTCATTGCTTGATGATGAAGGCAATTGCTTGTTGTAGTGGATGATATTAATTAGTTTGGGTTGTCAAATTAAATTTAGTTCAATAAACAACTGTGAATGCGATGATTTGCAATTGAACAAAGGAGGTAAGTCCTCACATTTTGATGCTGACGTAAAAAAATCAATGAATAACATTTTGGTGGTAATTACGGGGATGGTGGCGGCATCTTGGGTTATTGTAATGAACCAAGTATTAATATCCGGTACAGAATACTGTTGGTTTTTGACATTTTCGGATCAGAGATTTTTTAGGAGTCACCCATACGCTTAACTCATTTCGGTGAATTTATTACCATCGTAATTTTTAAACACGTTATGTCATAAAAAGGTGTTGAATTTACATATAACACTTACATATAGTACTTGACCTATTCACACCCAGGTGATGTGAAATTATGCACCTGTAGCTCGGCCTAGTGTGGTAACCTATTAGTGCCACCTCTATACATTCGCCTAGAAAGTTGCCACAATCACCTCATAAATTTTAGAATTCAAAATTTCTTATATGTAATAATTCATTTAAAGCTAGGCGCATTTCCTTTTTTATGCATGCCTCAATAGTCAATGTGAAAATCCATTTTATAGTGAGTGATATATAAGGTAAGAAATCTTTTTTTTTTTTTGACAAACTTTCCCTTAATACCAAATACAAATTTAAATTTGATGCCAATTACCACAAAAAAATATTTTTAAAAAAATATTTACAGGCTTACAAATTTATTGTCTTAAATTAGTTACGTGTAGTGTTAACCTCCCCAAACAATTCAATATATTTTGAATAATAAGTAATTTACCGTGCATCTATATATGTTTGTGTTCACAAAATTTAATTATAATATATGATAAATTTTTTTTTTTTAATTTTGATAAATATAACATGTAACCGGACAAAAAGTTAGGGATTTATTTGATTTGTCACTTAGGAAATCGTTCTAAAAAATTTTGAAAACAGAAAATCGCTTATAAATTATTTTGTATAGTTTTATGAAAATAGACATTTTTTTATAATTAAATTCTTTAAAAATTGAACCAAATAAAATTTAAATACAATTATTAACTTTTAACTTTCTAAAAACAAATATTACTGAGTGACAAACCAAAAAGACTTTAACTATCCTAAAAATTGTCACAAGTAGGAAACAAAATCCAAACATGAATTCAGACAGTCATGCGTTATTGCCTTAACAAGAAACAAGGCCAGCTTTGCTTCTGGACCACCGAATCTACTGTGTTTTACTTTACGCGGTACCCACTGATTCTTCCTTTTCCAGCACGAGTAGAAAACCCATCATCCCCTCTCCTCTTTCTCTCTCTCTCTAATTATATATCATATACATATGTGTGTTTTTTTAGTGTATTATTGTGGGCACAAATATTGGTTATCATTATCACATGGTTCAATTACCCCCTACAAATCAGGAAATTACTAACTTTCACAACGTTTAACACTTTCCCAAAAAACAAAAAAAAAAATTAAAAAAAATAAAATATGTTACTTTATCTAATCCTGTAATAGTTGCAAAACAAAACCCTAAAAGGGGTTCTTTGTAATAACAATTCCCCCCACTAGAATTGATCTCAGCCGTCAACTTCTAACATCCCCACCCCCATCTTCTCTTGATCTCACAACACTCTTCAGCTCACTGTTCTTTTTCTGTATGCTCTTTCTCACAACACTCTTCAGCTCACACTGCTTTCATTGGTTTCAATCCAATGTGAAGATGCTGCTGAAAATGTTCTCTTTTATTTATAACCTCCCGATTGATGGATGATAAAGCTCTTGTTCTTGATTGTTATGTTTTGGTTGTTTCATGCGGAAAATGAATTTCTTTGAAGTTTTGATGATCAAAGATTGGATTTTTATGACTTAAATGGGTGATTTTTAGTGTTCGTGTGTATATATCCATATGGGTTTTAGCCTTTAGGTGCTCTGGGGGTGATTTCTTTTATATATATTATTATTGTAATTTGTTAGGGTTTTTTTAGGGTTTGGGTATTGGTTTTGTGGAATGATTGATTGAGATAGTTTGTGAAGATGTTGTCTGAAATGGGAAGGAGACAGATGGTTGTTGGTGACGAGTATGGAGATGAATTGGAGAAGGAAATAGGGTTGTTGCTCCGCGAACAGCGGCGACAGGAGGCCGATGATGGCGAAAAGGAGCTGAATTTGTATAGGAGTGGGTCAGCTCCACCTACTGTTGAGGGTTCATTGAGTGCTGTTGGTGGATTGTTTAATCACGGTGGCGGTGTCAGTGATAGTGGTGCGTTTTCGGAGTTTGCCGGTGGTAAGAGTGGTAATGGGTTTATGTCTGAGGAAGAACTTAGGTCTGATCCTGCTTATTTATCTTACTATTACTCGAATGTGAATCTAAACCCTAGGTTGCCACCTCCTTTGCTTTCAAAAGAGGACTGGCGATTTGCTCAGAGGCTCAAAGGAGAGAATTCGGGATTGGGGGGAATTGGGGATAGAAGAAAAGTGAATAGCAATGGTAGTGGAGGTGAAGGAATATCATTATTTTCAAAACCCCCGGGTTTTAATTTGAAAAAAGCAGAGGGTGGGTGTGAATCAGAAAAAGTTAGTAGTTCGGCAGAGTGGGGCGGTGATGGATTGATTGGCTTGCCTGGGTTAGGACTAGGTGGGAAACAGAAGAGCTTTGCTGAAATATTTCAGGTGATTTTCTCAAATACTTATGTGTTTTCTCATATGTATTTATTTTATGTGTTTAAATCCACCTGCTAGTAAGTAGTATATAGCTCTTACAAAATTGAATGTGGCATTAAATGTAGTAGATTTTCTGTAATCCTAGCTGATAATAGCTTGTGCATTGGAGTATTATAATCGCTTCAGTCATCTAATGTCTTTCGTTCTGCCGTATTGGTCTTCGACGTGTATTGTATTGTGTCATGTTGTGTGCATTGAGTTGTCTTATTAATATTCCTACTATTGAACATGTGTCTTGAAGAGGGATTGACGCTTTTGATTCCTCTTTACTTGGTGTTAATGCATTATTTGTCGTTTATTGTTAAGTTCAATTTTTTTATTTTTCTTTTTTAATTCTGCTAACTTGCTTATCTGTTAATTTTTGTTTTATGGACTACATTGGGTAATGAACAACGTTGGCAACAAAGAATATTATGTGTAGTACAACGTCGGTCAGACTATTTGTTCCATGTTTAGTTTTTGATGCATTATGGAGCCTGCAACTAACAGCAATGTGTTACATACTTAATGAGCATTTGTGACACATCTCTTAATAATCTCAACTAGAACTCTTAGTGAATGTATTTTTCTTTGGTTGGTGAGAACATAATCCGTAGCTTACTTTTTGCTATAAAAAAGTCCGGCAGCTTTTTTTGGTTTTTAGCTTTGCGTATTACGCTATACTTTGGGAATGCAAGGGTGTATTTTACGATTGTTTGGAGTACACGAAGCAAAGCGGTTGAGTGCATTAACTGACCTAGATTACTTGTTCAACTTATTCGAAAGCAATCCAATCAATTAAACAATTATTTGCTCATTTCAATTTAGCGGTTTAGCCTCACTCATCTATAGGGAATAAATTACTCCTTCCCTAACATTAGATTTAAGGGACCCAAAATTTGTTGGTTTAAAGTTAACTAGTGAACTACAATTCTTGTTGTATTCCATCAGCTAATAGTTTTTTCATTTTGCTTCTACGAGTTGAAAATTTTATAGTCTTTCCAATTTAAATATCTTTATGTTGTGTTGGCACATTTTCATATCTATCTTTCTTGTTGAATTGTGCTTTAGCTCACCAAATGACAGCGCATGCCAATAGCACATTGCTGGAAACATGGAGGGCCTAAATGTCTTCATGTGTCCTGGCATAAGCATAGCTAGAACTCCTACAGTCTTCTAGTGATTTTACCTTTTCTGTATACTTTTAATTCTTGCCATTGTGGGTTAAGAACTCAAGATATTATTCAAGCTCAAAAGATTAGAGCGGTCTCCTATAGTGAAGTTGGTGAGAAACATGGACGGAATTTAGTGAAAATTTCCCAAGTTTCCTTCTGAATGAAATATTTTATTTCTATTAATTTAGAAAATAGTTAAAAAAAACTTGCCAAATCTTAAATTTTGAGATCTTTATTAACAAATACATTGAAAGAAACTTAAACAAGGGCAAAGGGTAAAAGTTAATTTTCTTACTTGAGAAGAGTATGCTTTCCTTATATAGCTAGGAAGTTAAAAAAACAATAAAAACAAAACAAAAATGATATTTGACTCCAGTAACTCCACTAAAGGAATTGAGTTTCTCTTTCTAATTTGAAAAGCGCAGATATGTTTTCTTTTAATATTTTTTTTAAAAAATAATTTTAGCAAGGAACATGATTTTATTTAATAATTAGAAGCAAGGAATAGGTAACTCTCAATCCCACTCCCTGCCCTGCCCCCAATGAGGAGGTAAGAAAAAGGGAGAAAAATATTTTCTGATGTCACCCCTGGTTAGGAGCTTTGATTTGGATCAACTATATGGAAGTTCTTTTTGAATTTATTTTTTTAATCTTCGCGTTCTATAACTGTATATTGAGCAAGTGCGAATTTGTTTATAAAATGGCTTTAGCCTGTGATAAAGATTTTGGTATGGATGAATGGAAAATATACGGAAGACAGGTTCTAAAGATTGTTCATTTTAAAAAAAATCAAAGCTCACTGTATTCAGTGAAAAAAATGAGCACCCAGTAGGATGCTTTTTAGACATGTACTAAGAAGATCTAGGACAGTGCTAGCTGTTAGTGGCAGTTAATACATGTTGAAGAGACTAGGAGCAGAAATTGACTGCATTTTTTGGGTTGTTGAAGTGAATACATTGTGTGCTTTCGTCCACTGTGGCATGTTTCAGGCTTTCTATTGTTTACCTTGTGAATGAGAACTAGTGTCTGTGCAGGATGATTTGGGCCGTGCAACATCTGTCTCCAGGCACCCCTCCCGCCCTGCCAGCCGTAATGCATTTGATGAAAATACCATGACCTTGGCTTCTGCTGAAGCTGAGCTTGCTCATTTACGAGGCGAATTGGCATCTGCAGATGCTATACAAGCTGGTGTAAATGTTCAGAACTCATCCTCTGCCCAAAATGTTGGTCCTTCTGCATCATATTCTTATGCTGCTGCTTTGGGTGCTGCCTTGTCTCGGAGCACCACTCCTGATCCCCAACTTGTCGCTAGGGCTCCTAGTCCTTGCCTTCCTCCTATTGGTGGAGAGAGACTAGGTGCTTCAGAAAAGAAAAGCATTAATAGTCCAAATTCATTTAATGGCATCTCATCTACCATGAGTGAATCTGCAGATTTGGTAACTGCTTTGTCTGGTATGAACCTATCAAATGGTTTAATAGGTGAAGAAAACCATTTGCCACCACAGATGGAACGTGAAGTTGATGATCACAAAAATTATTTCTTCAGTCTTCAAGGTGGTCAGAATAATATAAAGCAACATTCACGCGTAAAGAAATCTGAACATGGGAATTTGCATATACCTTCTGCTACACAGATAGCAAAACTATCATACTCTGATTCAAGCAGGAGTAATGGGATTCGGTCAGACCTTAGTAACTCTTCCTTGGTACCAGAAAGGCAAGTTGACCTGCGTAAAACTGTTGTTTCTCCCAATAATTCATACCTAAAAGGATCTTCTACTTCAACTATAAACGGCGGAGGAGGCTTTTCTCCTCACTATCAGCATGCGGATGGTGTGAATTCATCATTTTCAGACTATAGTTTAAATGGGTATTCAGTAGATCCAGCAATGCAATCCACAATGGCAAGTTATCTTGGCACTTCCAATTTTCCACCTTTGTATGAAAATGTTGCTCAAGCATCAGCTATGGGTATCCATGGAATGGACTCTATGGTGTTGGGGCGAGGCTTGCCTTCTGGACCAAATCTAAATGCTGTAGCATCAGAGACACAGAATCTTAGCAGAATTGGAAACCAGATGGCAGGGAGTGCTCTTCAGGCCCCTTTTGCAGATCCAATGTATCTTCAGTATTTGAGGACAGCTGAGTATGCTGCGGCACAGTTTGGAGCTCTTAATGATCCCTCTGTGGATATGAATTATTTGGGGAATTCATACATGGATTTACTTCAGAAAGCTTATCTGGGAACTTTGCTATCACCTCAGAAATCCCAGTACGGTGTTCCCTTGGGCACTCAATCTAGTGTTTCTAATAACCATGGTTACTATGGTACTCCTTCATATGGTGTTAGCTTGTCATATCCAGGAAGTCCCTTGGTGAGTCCTGTTATCCCAAACCCTCCAGCTGGACCTGGTAGTCCTATGAGGCATGGTGAGCTCAATATGCGATTTCCTTCTGGGATGAGAAACTTGGCAGGAGGTGTCATGGGAATGGGATCCTGGCAGTTGGAAGCCGGTTATAACGTGGATGATAGTTTTGCACCCTCTTTGCTGGAAGAGTTTAAGAGCAATAAAACCAAGTGTTTTGAACTTTCAGAAATTGCAGGTCATGTTGTTGAGTTCAGGTATGTGCTGCACATAATTTTTTTGTGCTCAAATACTGTTTGAATAATCCTGATATTTAAATCTTTGATTCATCGTCTTATTTGAGCAGTGCGGATCAGTATGGGAGCCGATTCATTCAACAAAAGCTTGAAACAGCCACAACAGAGGAAAAAAACATAGTTTTCCAGGAAATTATGCCCCAAGCTCTAACCTTGATGACTGATGTGTTTGGTAATTACGTGGTCCAGAAGGTACCCAAATTTTATATGCATGTGTATCAACGATATGCACAGTTTCTAGTGAATATTTAATGAGTGACAGCGGTATTTGTTTTCAGTTCTTTGAGCATGGAATTGCATTTCAGAGAAGGGAATTGGCTGGCAAGCTTTTTGGGAATGTGCTTACACTTAGCCTTCAAATGTATGGTTGTCGAGTGATCCAGAAGGTAACATCAGTTGCAACTAAACCACAGTTTAGTGTCACTACATATCCTGTATTTTGTCATATATGATCTCTTTCTTTTTGTGATCTGTTACTGTGCTACCAACAAATTACCATTTTCATCTATGGATTTAATATTGAACCATGTATAAGTGGCACTTTATATTTGTATGGATTTGACTGTAAGCTTTTTAATGTATTACAAAATAAGTTTGCAACTGTCAGACATCATTGGTTGTTGTGCTGTCAGAATTAGGAACTTGGATTTTTGTTTTTGGTAGAGCGGTAAAAGAAAAATGTTTTCTTTCAATGGACATTTTTCAATCGTCTTTGTGGCTGCTGGAGTTCTTGATTTTGAAGCAGCATCCTTGCCACTATAGTCAGTTACATTGAGTATGATACTATACTTTGAATAAGTGAGACTAATTCAATAATTACTGGACATCAAAGATCCTTAATATTTTTATGAATTAACCCTGCTTATTCTGATAAGAACACTTGTTTTACAATTCAGGCAATAGAAGTTGTTGATTTGGACCAGAAGATTAAAATGGTTACGGAGCTTGATGGTCATGTCATACGCTGTGTGCGTGATCAGAACGGGAACCATGTCATCCAGAAGTGTATTGAATGTGTTCCTGAAGAACATATTCAATTCATCATCTCAACATTTTTTGATCAAGTTGTGACCCTTTCCACCCATCCATACGGATGTCGGGTTGTGCAGGTTGTCCTTTTTATTGAATTATTTGTCTCTTAATGCTTTTGACTCCGGAAGATGTAGTGATGTTTTTTCCGAATTAGCAGAGAGTACTGGAGCACTGCGGGGACCCAAAAACCCAGAGTAAAGTGATGGATGAGGTTTTAGGATCCGTTAGTATGTTGGCACAAGATCAATATGGCAATTATGTTGTTCAGGTTTGTAAAGTTTTCCTGGACCTTTTGATTGTTATGGTATTTATATATTAAGCTTAAGTGAAAAGAAATTCAGTGAGTGCATGTGTTTGTTTTTTAGAGATCGTGTTACTTTGCTCGATGACATCAGGAGTTAGTATATGCCTCACTATTGTAAATCACCAAGCTAGTTGGACAGGTAGTAGAACCAACTGAAACTGTAGCTCAGTGATTTGCATCCCAATCTCAATTTCAGAGGGCCAATGAACGCTAAACCACCCTTACCCTCCCTCACACCCAAACGCACACCACATGACCGATCACACATAAATTATTCTTGTTACTAATGTTAAATAAGGAGGGATATGTCAACTTCCAACTTGGCATCTTCAATTAAATAATGGTGCCAGTCGGCAACCCGGGGCCTGGATAGTGCTCTGACGAGTCTCTGATTAATAACTGTTTGCATATATCAACCAAGTGTATCGAAGCACAATTGAAACATTTGTGTTTGTGAATTTGTGGATGATTTGGTTGGTATATTTAGAAATTGTTGCTCACGCAGTCATAATCTTTCATTATAGTAATTTAACATTTGAGTCCCTCCTGTTGCTTTCGGTTGCGGAAGTATTTGTTTTGCCTAGGCATGTTGTGCTGTCTCTTTGCTTTCTTCTTGTGTTAATCCTTTGCATTTGTTTATGACAGCATGTGCTGGAGCATGGAAAGCCACATGAGCGTTCTGTAATAATCAAGGAATTAGCCGGGAAGATAGTTCAAATGAGCCAGCAGAAGTTTGCATCCAATGTTGTGGAGAAGTGTTTAACTTTTGGCAGTGCTACTGAACGTCAGCTCCTTGTAAATGAGATGCTTGGCTCTACTGATGAAAATGAGCCTCTTCAGGTTTGCCATATCTCTATTTGTTTTCTGTAACTAACTAAATGAAATGGTCATCAATATCCTCAAGATACAACCTTTCACTGATAGTACTGTTAACACTTCCCTTTTTTTCCTTTTCTTGTTTTTACAGTACATGGTGTTACTATTACCTGCATTAGTTTGCAACGGAGATGAGTAATCGAGCTGGGAGAGCTATGTTTATCATGTTTTGCTTCTTTTCTTGAGTGTGTATCATGAGTTTATTTAAATCATGTTTATTGCGATAGCTTTTACTGTCTTATGCATTCATCTCAAATGTTACATTATTTTACATTATAAATTTACCTATTAGTTATGTTATTTTACAATTAGAAATTTACGTATTAACTTAAACATGTAGCTTGAAGGACAAACATATACGAGAAAAGGTTTCCTTTTTTTTTCTTACACAGTCCCCCTCCTCTTTTCTGTCCACTTAAAGTTGAAAGAAAATGGTGGGTCTGGAAGAAAACTCTACTCTTCTTTCCCTTTCCCATTCCTTTTTAGTCCTGACAAACAATGGAACTTTCTCCATTCCCTATTTTGTTCTCCCCAACCCCACCAAAGACCCCTTTCTTGCTACCCCCTTCTTCCAAACTGAGTGTTGGTGTATGGTACACTCACCATTGGATTGCACATTTTAGTAGGGCTGTAAGTTGGGCAGGCCCAACCCAGACTGGTCCCAACCCTATCTCAACCTGAGGTCGGGTTGGGTTGGGCCGGCCCGATGTTGCTACCCCCTTCTTCCAAAATAGTTGGGCTCTGACAGTTTGAAATTTTTTTTCCCTTAATGCAATCTTTCTTTTTCCCAGTTTGAAATATCAATTTTTCCAGAAAATTTTAATTCATTAATATATATATTTTTTAACCTCATCAAACTATTAGTATTGTGACTGAAGTATTCAATTATTAATTTGATTGTTTATATATAAAGAAAAAAATTCTATATAATTCCCCCCTAAACTTTTTAATTTTAAAAATTTTCTCCTTTACTTTTTAGATTCCTTTAATTTCCTTAAAAGAGAAGTTAAATTTCCTTTCCACATTTAAACTCTAAACTTTTTTTTCCTTTAAAATATCTCTCATTTTTCTTTCCTTTTTTTTTTTTCTCTGCTTCTTAAAATTCTTCTTTTTTCCCCTTGTAGTATGTAACTTTGTTTTCCATCTTCTTATTCTTTTTATCTATTTCTCTTATTTAAATTTAATATTGTAATTTTATGGAGTTTCATACATGGTTTTCAAAATACAAAGATTTACAACGCTATTCAATGAAAATATTAACAAAAATCATAGTAATTCTGCAATGAATTTTTTTTTCTGCTTTGCCCTTTGATTTCAAGAACCTATATGTCATATGAATTTTTTTATTTTTTTACACTACGCCCCCTGAATTAAAACCCTGGCTCCGCCCGTCAGTAAATGATGCAGACACTTCACATATGTAGATACATATATATCAAAGATTTGGAAGCTGGAAAAAAATATATATGGACGATTTTTAAAATTTTGGGTTTTGGGTTGGGTTCAGGTCGAGCCCAACCCGACCACGTCTGGGCTTTGAAAATTTCCAACCCAATTTGTGAATCAAAATGCCCAAGTCCCAAAAATTCTGGGCTGGTCTCGGGTTGGGGTGGGTTGGCCCACCCAAGTTGCACCCCTACATTTTAGTGTCAAAAGACATGTGAGAAGTTATTGTTGATCAAAAACAAAATCTCATTCATTTATGTATAGTTAGTTTTGCATTTGGAATTTTTGTACATGCATTTCCCTATATTAATGCATATTTTTGTATGAATTCGTGAACAATTAATAGTATAACATTAACAGTTTTTTTCTAAATAATTACTGATATTTTTTTGGTAAGTTAAATAAGTATTGATCATTAGGTAATACTGGTGGTTATTCATTATCCAGTATAAATCAAGTTAGCTCTTCAACTGGAGGTTATGAATTTATTAAACAATAAATTTTTAGGTGGATAATTGCACTGTCCAACCTCAATAAGAAAATATTTTAATGTTGAAACATTTAAGGGATGATCTCCTGTTGTACTCACAAGATCTATGATCTATTTGGGCTGTATATGTGGCTAATCTTTACTGTCCTGAAATGAGACCTATTTGGTTGGACATGCGTTTAGTGCTATCTGATAGTGTTTTTTATTTTTATTTTTTTGGGGTGGGGAGTGGGGGAATGAGAGCAGCTAACCTTCAATAATTGAGTACGAGCTACTTCGAGGCTAATTTTCACACAGCAAGGAATTAAGTATGCATACTAATTTCCAACTTTCCCGTGTTTATTTTTTGTATCCAGGCAATGATGAAAGACCAGTTTGCAAATTATGTTGTACAAAAGGTACTGGAAACTTGTGATGATCAGCAACGTGAGCTGATCCTAACGCGAATTAAGGTTCATTTAAATGCACTGAAAAAATACACTTATGGGAAGCATATTGTTGTTCGCGTAGAGAAACTTGTTGCTGCTGGAGGTACTTCGCTCTGTACTTCACTCATTCATCTACATTGGTTTCCTTTTGCACTTAAGCTTTTCAGCGTGTCAGTTTTCTTCTGCCCTGCCCTGGCCCCTAGTATTATAATTTTTTATGCTGCTTTGTTTTTGGAAATCACATTACGTAACAACACGATTATTGAGGAAGGAATACCATTTTATTTGTGCCTGGTTAACTTGAACTTGGCTATCCAATAGATAAAGATTGAATAGAATGATCATGGATTAATTTGCCACAGTAGTTCATTTTAGTCAGTCGTCTTTGTGGGTAGTGTTCAGATGCTAGTCACCATCAAATGAATTCATAATATACTAAATTTGCTTCCTCTGCTTTTTATTCCCTTTTGTTGAGTACCCTTTCAAGAGTTATATGATATATCTGTGTGTGTATGTATATATATATATTTTACAATTCCTACATTGTTGATTGCTGCTGTCCTGTTACACCCAAAATTGTTGCCAAAAATCCACTACAATTGACTTCACCTTACTTTATGTCCACGTGCTAAAACTGTGCTCGTGATTGTTCTAAACTTAACTGACCAATCATGTGTATATTTCATATTACATCAATAGAACAGATAGCCTGCCGCAGATTTTTGCGTCTTTCAATATTCAAATAGCTTTCTAATTATGGCCTATTGTTAAATCGTTTGCAGAAAGGAGAATGGCTGTTCAGTCTCCACAAACCGTTTAGTTGCTGTAGGAAGGAAAGAAGTTGTAAAGCTAACCGAGGCTAGTTTGAGCTACCTCTCTTCTTCTTTCTTCTACCGGTATCTAGTGCTGCTGCAGTCTACTTATCTTTAAGATAGGTGTCAGCTAATTGGAAATAAAGTTGTTGCTTGTATTAGAAACCTGTACATTGTGTAGTTTAAGGTTTATACATAGAATCAAGAGGCGGCTCAGATGTCGGGTAACTCCCGATGCCCCAACAGACGAGATAAAACGACAATTACAAGTTTTCGAGGATGTAAAAATGGAAAAATGTTGAGGTAGTACTTGTTATAATGTCACTGTACAAAAATGTTGCCATGTGGAGAGTCGATTATGTTTGGTGAGAGGGTGGAAAATTTTCATGTACGGCAATGGCAATTTTCTCAAGTGGCCCGAGTAATAATGTTTAGATCTCTCGACTTGTCTATATTCCATTTATGGATTTTGTTGTTTAATTCATGCAATTTGATCTCTTCTGGTTTGTGTTTTGGCCATGTTGATTTTTATTTATTTATTGTTCCATATAGAAGCTTAATTTGTTGTTGTATAGTCAGTGATTGATAGATTCGATTTGCTTGACCTTTGTAGACCAATCTGCTATTTAGCATCTTCGTTAGTGGTGATAGACATTGAAACGCATGGTGAAGGTTGATTGCATTTACCTACTTCCTCGCTTTCTAAAGTAGAAGTTTGAGGGTTTAAGTTCCGATAGGGGCAAAAAGGGGTGCCTTCTTGGCTTTCTAAAATAGGTCTAGGATTTGTCCCAACAGGGGCAAAAAGGGGTGTTTTCCTTGCTTTTTAAGGTAGAAGAAGGTTGAGATTTGAAAGTTGAAGTCCCGATAGGGGCAATAATGAGTTTGTGAATGTATTTTTTGCTGATAAAAGAGATTGATTGCCTGAACAAGTTAAAACTGAAAGAAATTTTCTACATGTGTTGGATGTGATGGATTTTCCTTGGGATGTTAATGGATTGAATCTAAGATTAATTTGAATCCATGCAGATTTGATTGTCATGCAACATAAAAAGAAAAAAATCTGTTCTTTTCTCTGGAAAAATTACGAAAAATACGAATTTGTAAATTTGAATTATTCACCTAAATATTGGTGAAATGAAGCTTGCCAAAATATGAATTAGTAAATTCTAATTATAGCTTGGTGATGGGATATAAAGATGGATCATGAACTCGTATTAGCACAAATTGATAGAAGCTATTTATCAAATTATATAAAGATAATCTATATAAATAATGCTATTTAGAATGAATATTCAAATTGAAAATGCTAATAACTTTGATACGATCTCATACATACAAAACAAGGACAAAAATATCCGCATTCCCTTCTCTCAGCTTTAACCCCACAATTATTTTTTTGGGACACACTGCAGTACTGCACGTAACCCTCCCCAGCTGTCAACCAACATCCTTTGATTCTATTGGTCCTTCTGAACACTTTAACATGTTGCAAAACTCTCAAAATATCTGCACTTTTTGGCCTTTAGTCACTCAAGAGTCGAGGTGAAAAGGCTTTTTTTTTTTTGTCTTTTTTTTTTTTTTTTCTTTTTGCAAAAAATAAAAGGGAATATACAAAAAAGGAGGTGCTAAAATAACATTAAAATAACTTTCAAAAATAAAATAACATTAATATATATATATAAGAACAGTAAAACAATAGGCTTACTTAGTTCAGTTTTATATTTTTGGAGATTTGAAAATCAAAAAATTATACAAAAATCTATCCCACTGACTATTTATAACAATTATTTAAAAAAAAAAAAATCAGTTAAAATAAAAAAATTATTTTCAAAAAACTATATTTTATAGTTCTTTAAAAAAAAATTCTGAATTTTTAAAAATCATTTTCTAAAAAATGAGAATTAATGTATCTACCTAATCTAATTGGCAAGAGTATTAGGAATTAGTAGTAACTGATTAGTGGAGTGGGAATAGGGAATTAGTAGTAACTGATTAAGTGGAGTGGGGAGAAGAGTGCGAAGGCTCGAAACTCGACTCACAAAGACAAATGGGAGCAATACCTGACTCATAAAGACAAATATGAGCAATTCAAATTACGAATACATTCATACATTACCTTACTTACTCGACATGAATTTACTTATTTACTATTTTTAAAAATAGTAAACTTAACTTTGACATTTTATAACTCATTTAACAAGTCGAGTTTTAGATAATTTTGTTAGTTCATGCAATTTTTTAATTCTAGCGAAAGTTTTATGCAGATTTTAAAAGTAGAGGTATAATCGAAGTAAACTTGGGAAATTTACAACAGTTCCACAAAACATGGTTATTTTGTGATTCTAGACCGACAATAGTAAAAGTAGATTATATGTGTCCTTCACAACGAGATAGATATTTAGGGGATCAAAAATATCTGGCTAAGGCTGCCACGTCGTCAAATGGAAAGCACCTATCTGGAATCCCAGAGATTGCACTTTTGAAACCTTTATCTTCCTTCGAAATTATATATTAATATATAAATAAAAATGTATATTATATTTTCATTTTCCCCAAAAGTTCAATCTACCAAATATCTGCAACCACCGTCTCTTCTCTCTCTCTCTCTCTAAAATTCTGACTTTTGATTCAAACCCAGACCAATTCTTGAAAATTTCTGCAAATGTTTGCGAACGTGAACTGAAATTGAAGAAAACCCTATATTTGTAATTTCGTAATCAGATTGGAAGATGGGTGAAGAAGTGCAGATGAGTGAATACGGAAGAGGGGGCGAAGATGCCGGAGACGAAGACAGAGTGTCGGAGTGGGAGATGGGTTTACCCAACGCCGACGATCTGACTCCTCTCTCTCAGAAACTGATCTCGCCGGAGCTCCTGTCGGCCTTCAGCATATCCCCGGAACCCTCCCGGAGCATACTCGACGTAAATCGAGCCTCCCAGACCACCTTATCGAGTCTCCGGGGACAGTCTCAGACACTGTTTTCGTCCGCCAATTTCAATCTCAACGACGAAGAAGCCAGAGATCCTCTGGTTGTAGAAGATGTGACCGATAATTCGGAACCGAGGAAGATTCGGAGGGTGGACAGCGGCGGCGCGGAGGAGGATGACTCGGCGCTGCGGACGGAGAATTGCAGCGTGAAACGGCCGCGATTGGTGTGGACGCCGCAATTGCACAAGCGGTTCGTCGACGTCGTGGCCCATCTGGGTATAAAAAACGCGGTGCCGAAGACGATCATGCAATTGATGAATGTTGAGGGCTTGACCCGCGAGAACGTGGCCAGTCATCTGCAAAAGTACAGGCTTTACCTGAAGAGGATGCAGGGGTTGTCGAATGAGGGTCCGTCGCCGTCCGATCATCTCTTCGCGTCGGCGCCGGAGCCGCAGAGCTCACATGAGTCGGGAGGAGGGAGTGGACATGGACAAGTTCCGGTGCATTTTCCGATGCCTTATGCGCCGACACAGTTGATGCCGATGCCGGTACCGGTACCGGTGCCGGTTTTCGGTCATGGTTATGGCCATATGGGTATGCCGGTGGGTAATCCAGCGGGTCCGGGTCAGTATCATGGGTTTGAGTCTCATCCTTTCAATATGCAGCAAAGAGACTGGTCAGGGACTATGTTTGGTTATAATCATGTTAGTCATAATGACAAATAACTTCATTAGGGAGGCTAGTTTTCTTTGGATCTATTTGAACTACTATAATTGAGTTCTTTAAATTGTTAGCATTTGCATCATAATTATTCTTAATGAATCTATCTTTGTAATGATAATAAATTAACATTACAGCACAAGATTTGATTTGTATGGTCTCAATACTTGGATTTGGATTTTCCTAAATTGAGACTCATGAGTTTCTATTAAAAGTTCATTCCAACCATTTGGAGCCGGCTACATAAGTTTCTATTCAGCTCTATTTTTGAAAACAAAACTTTACTTTGAATGTTATGTTCAGAAGCTTGTAATTAGTGTGTGGTAGCATGCAATTGGTGTCTTGAAATTGAAATCGAAGAAGGAAGTTAGTTCTTGGCATCCAAACTCACTCTTAAGTGGCATCTTCCCCATCCATAATGGGAAGTTACAATGCAGTCACAAACGTTATTGTATTCTGTTAGAACAACACAAGTGAAGTGAAGTGTTCTAACAAAGTACCATTTTCTATGAAACAAGCTTCAGAAATGTGTTTTGACAGTCTTGAAATTAGAATGAGTACAATTGTTTCTTTCTCCCATTGTTAAAATAGTCCCTGGACATTTTTCAGTTGTGTGGTAATATCTAAACATATGCTGATATGCTTATATTGACAAGCTTCTACATGCAAGTCTGTTTCGGACTTGTCTATTACTATATGAGATTGGAGGATCTCTGAAGTAGTCGCTAGGGATGCAATTGAAGAACAAGCTTTTTGTGAAGACTCAATAAATAGAGAGTTTGGGTAGAGATATAGAGAGAGAGAAGAGGTATGGGGTTGCCTCAAACCCTTCTTAAAAGGCCTTTTGCTGGTAACGTTTAGGAAAAAGTTGCTAACATGGATCGTTTAGGGAAGAGTCGCTAACGCTTATATGGGGAATGCCTCTTACTGATCGCTGAAAATTGGGGGGAGACAAGCCTATGAGAGTCAGGCTAGCGAGGAGCTGTTCCTGTTTCAAATAAATACTGCATCTTCACAACATGGGCATAAAGCTGCTTTTGCCTTCTTCAATTGCCAAAAGAGTCCAGCAGTTTAAACTGTTAGCATAATAGTGTTTGTGTACTAATGTACTCTCCCCATATTAGATGTCCTGGATAGTAGATGTAATTATTGCTTTGTTTCCTTAAAAATTACAAACTTACCTTTTTAAATTTAAATATATATATAATCAAGTTTGAAATTTTTAAAAATTTTAAGAGTCAAATATGTTGTTTAATCTTGGTAAGTGGACAAGTATTTTGGGACAACTCAAAAAGAAAAAATGAATAACTAATGATGAGACGGAGAGAGTACTCATTTTCATGAAGATATAATCAGTCCTCGAGCACCCAAAAATCAAACAATTACACAATCCAACATCCCGATAAAGTTCTTCCTAATAACGAATGGATGTTAGCAATATGATTTTACTTACTTTTCATCATTAATCAATCATAACGAAATGAGTTATGATGAGTTGTTTTTTAAAACCACCATTGCTTTGCTAAATTCATGAAACTCCAAACAGCTTTCGAACAAGAAGGTTACTTACCTAAACAAAGCTCCAGCTTTTGGGAAAAAAAAAAAACACAACAACTAAGCTCCACCTGTGAAGCCATGACTGGCCGAGGAAAGTCGAATACAAACAAGTAGATATATATTACAATGCATTATGCATATATAATTGAAATTTTCTGATGGACAAGTTTGGAACACTCTAAAATAGATGGCATTTTAATAATTTTTCTTAGAAGAATGACAGTTAATGCAATTTGAAATATATTATAAATTAATTAAAAATATATATATAATATTTTAAAAAATAAAATTAATAAATATCAATCTCTAAATTTTAAAATTAGTGATTTTATTCATGATTATATGGATAAATCAGTAAGAATTATGAATTATAAATTATATAAATTGTTATTATATTATTATTATTTTGACTTATTTATGCCGTAATAATTTTTATTTATTTATTTTTAGATTCACCTTATCACAAAATATATATAATACTTTAAAAAATAAAAATAATAAATATCAATCTCTAAATTTCAAAATTAGTGATTTTATTCATGATTATATGGATAAATCAGTGAGAATTGTGAATTATATGAATTGTTATTATATTATTATTATTTTGACGTATTTATGCCGTAATAATTTTTATTTATTTATTTTTAGATTCACCTTATCACAAAATATATATAATATTTTAAAAAATAAAAATAATAAATATCAATCTCTAAATTTCAACATTAGTGATTTTATTCATGATTATATGAATAAATCAGTAAAAATTATGACTTATATAAATTGTTATTATATTATTATTATTATTTTGACGAATTCATGCGGTAATCATTTTTATTTATTTATTTTTAGATTCACCTTATCACAATATTTGTATCATGTTGCATTAATATATATGCTTTCAAAGTATATAATAATTTTCTCACTCCATTGGAGGCAAATACCTCTGGCACCACCTATCTATGATGGGCTCACTGGATCAATAGTAGAGAAATAGTAAAATGATGGATTATTAAATTTAATAACATAATTGTTTACTAATATTTATTTCTATTATTTAAATTTAAAATAAGGTTTCATAATTGCCCTCACTAGAAAATTTTTCTTTTCGCTATTATACCTACTAATTTTGTTTTCTGGAATTATATACTTACAAAATTTTGAATTTATTCTCACTGAAACCAGGGAAAATACCAAGTTTTCATTTTGAGATGTCTTTGGAGTACTATTTTGTATTTTAATAAGAATAAATTTTGAAATTCAACTATTATCAGTACAATAAAAAAATATTTAAAACACAATAACATAAAAAATTGAATTCCTATTGGGGGCGTTTTGGTAAAATAACCTAGATAAGTGGTTCGAAGCCGTTGATTTTAGTTCCACATGAAGAAGGGTGTCCATGACCGCAACACATTCCACAAGGAGTACTCATTGAGTCGCACAAATTATTATTACTTGATGAACATGCACAAATCTGCTCTGTTTCTAACACCAATCAACCCCTCCTCGCTCTCTCATCTCTGCCCAAGATCTAATCATTGTAGACTTCTGAATCTGCAAAACCAAGCAAAATCTTCAAAACCCAGTTGCAGAATTGGCTATGGAAGCAATTTCAGCCTTCTTGCGTATGCTTTACAAGCCTTCTCACCAAGTTACAGAAATCAAAGGAAGAAGAAAAGAAGATGTGATTACGCAGTGGTGAAATCGAGTCGCAGAGAGTCTCCATATGAAGTTTTGGGGGTCACTCCCTCTGCAACTCCTGATGAAATCAAGAGGGCTTATCGGAAACTTGCTCTGAAATACCATCCTGATGTCAACAAAGAGGTAAATCGAGTGTATAACAATATATAATCAGTAGTCACTCAATTTGATATGTGCAACTATATGCATGTTTGATTGTTTGTTTTCGATGTTGAATTAAAGAAGACTCGGTGCATTTTACTTAATTTAGTTTAATTTTTGCTGGTATATCTGGGTTTTTTTAACAATTTGGTTGAAGAAAAGACACTAGTGTATACTTGTTGCTCAAATTCTGAAGGGTTCTATTGTAAATTTATAGGTTTTGGGGAAATTTGTAGATAAATTTTGGAAGAAGGCAATTCAGTTCTGTTAGATACAGTTTAATCAAATAAATCAGATTTTTGTGACTGTTGCAGCCTGTAAGTTAAAGCTATGTTTGGGAGCACCGAATCGATGACATAAATGGATTTTGTTGTGTTGGCTTGCACAAGTTTAATTTCATGTTTTGGCATGCTTTACTTGCTTTCACAGAGAGACAACTGAAACCCTTTTGAAGCTAAGGGAGTTCCAAGACACATAGAGATTGACACAAGCTTGTCTAGTGTCCCTCTTATGAGAGATAGGTATCGTGTAAATCAAGAGTTTAAGGTTTTGTAGTACTTGGTAAAACTTTTAACAGCTCATCTATGTTGTTTAGAAGTTGAAGAAGCTTGTAGTTTGTGGGGGTGATCTGCTAATAATTTGGTATGGTTGAACATCACCTTGTTAGGTGAGTGATTCTAATAATCTAGAAGTCACTACTCCATGCTACGGGATAATAATGGCCGTGGAGAGGCTGGCTTCAGAACTTATTTGATAATCCTTGTGTGAAGCGCTTTGCTTCCCATGATGATAGAATGTTCCATACTCTGTTCTGATTCATTTATTTCTATCTAAACTTGAGGGTTAGATCGAATTTGTTCCCTCTCTCTCTAGTTTTGGATTATCTTCAAGTCCCCATTACTAAGAATTTAAGTATCACTACCAACTTATTAATGAGAATAGTAATCCTTTTCTTGCTTATGTGTTCACAATAGTATCTTCTGCTATATTTCCATATCTTAATAATCATTTCTTGCTTATGTGTTCACAATTGCGTATTCTGCTATATTTCCATATCTTAATAATCTATGGGGCCATAATCAATTCGTGTCATAGATATTACTAGATAAGTACATGTGGTTTTTATTTGATCTTAAGGGAGATTGACAAAGTGTAGAGGCACCAAACAGTTACAGGAAGGAGTAATAATTAAGTAAATAGTCATTCTTACTTACTGAGAAAAATTATTAAGTGGATAATGGTTATAGGCTTCCTAACTTTTATTCTGTTTTTCTCAACAAAAAAAAAAATTGGTGTGACAAAATCATTTTCAAATCAATTTTGTGCAGATAATAATATGCCACTATGCTTAGGGATGGGGTGGAGGGGATAGTGTAAAGATAAACAATTTGGCCAAATAAAATACCAATAAAATAGTTGAGAGGGTATGTGTGATCTCAAGAGGAACATAAACGAATGCAAAGAGAAGGAGCACAACAATCAGCAAAGAGAAGGACCACAACATTCATGGGATATTCCAACACAAACCTACCCAAACCGACCCATAGATCCCCCAAAAGAACAAAAAAAAAAAAAAAAAATGGGCCTATCATATGTCCAGAATGGATCCTCTTCTGAAACAACACCGTGTTGTACAGTAGAGGACGGTTGTGATCGCTTACATGTGAGTTTGCTATTTCCTGCTTCGAAATGTTTACATGCACCCTAGTTATCATGGCATGGTGAAAGAGGCAAGTCCCCTTAGCGTTTGAGGAGTATAGCTAATTGTTAGAATATATGATTATACCGCTAGAGTATATGATGATTAACTTGGTATTACTAAAATATGGAAAACATTCATATAAAATGTTAGGTTTGTCTCCAATCGTCCGTCTTCACTATGGAGCAAAAATAATGTCTTTCTATATATTTGTGCATATAATAATAATAAAAAGAAAGTCATTTCATATGAAATGTTATATACACACACCCACACACACACACTTTTTTTCTATCTTTTACCACTTTATCTCAAAAACTTTCTAATCAATAACATAACCAATGACAGCCGTTAAGATATTATAATTATTTTCTTTATTAGACTACTCTTGACATGTTTGTCTTTGCACAAATGGTTGATAAAGAGTTGTGTAATAAAGAATATAATTATAATTATCTTAATGGGTGTCATTGGTTATTTTATTGATTAGCTAGTTTTTGAGATAAAGTGGTATAAGATGGGAAAAAAAGTGTGTATATATATGTAACATTTCATATGAAATGACTTTCTTTTTTTATTATTATATGTACAAATATATAAAAAGACATTATTTTTGCTCCGTGACAGACGTTTGGAGACAAACCTAACATTTTATATGAATGTTTTCCATATTTTAGTAATACCATGTTAATAATCATGTACTCTTGCAGCGTAATCATATATTCTAACAATTAGCCAAACTCCTCAAACGCTAAGGGGACTTGCCTCTTTCACCATGCCATGATGACTAGGGTGCATGTAAACATTTCAAAACAGGAAATAGCAGACTCACGTGTGAGCAATCACAACCGTCCTCCATTGTACAACACGATGTTGTTACAGAAGAGGATCCGGTCTGGACATATGATAGGTCCATTTTCTGTCTTCTTTTGGGGGATCTATGGGTAGGTTTGTGCCTAGGAATATCCCATGATTGTTGTGGTCCTTCTCTTTGCATTTGTTTATGTTCCTCTTGAGGTCACACACACCCTCTCACATAAAGCCACCAGACAATGAAGAAAGAGGTGATTCACTCACTCTGCAATCTTTTTGCACATGCAACACCAATTAACCACAATATGGCGACTCCTTCTAAGGTTGTCCAAGGTGAGAATCCTTCAGAGAGTTGCTGACCAAGTGAAAAAAGCCACCTTCAAAGGGGCTTTCGATTTCCAGACGGCCCTCCAAGGGAAGGAATGACCCTTCAAAATGGCTTTCGATTTCCAAACAGCCTTCCAAGGGAAGGAATGACACGGAATCTCCATCAAACTCTGGTAAGACGAACAAACTAAAAACACCCTCTTGGGGAATCCATCCAAACCATCACATCCATCCCCTCCCCCTCCATTGTCTGACTATAAAGTAGTGATAAGAACTCTGCTACCTCCGCAAGCTCCCAATCAAGGAAGTATCTATGAAACTGTATATCTCAAATCGTCCTTCCACTCTCAAGGCGATAGTAATCGGCAACCCAGGCTTGTCTGTCCATAACAATCCTAAAGAGCCGTGGAAACCTGCGAGCCAGAATACTATATTTAAAGTTTGGTCTATGCCAAATTGCCATATACCGATCTTAACATCTTGTTCTAATAGAACCTGCTCTAGGTAATATTAAATTACCAAGGATTTCCCATCAGCACAAGATGCCGCATAAGCATTTTATTGCTATAAATTATATAGATTGTGGTATAAATTTTTGGATTTCATGTTTTTTCTCGCTATATACCCATCTGAAGTGATGGGAACATGAGGAACTGTTGGATTTATATCACTCTAAATACGATATAAGTGCAAAACATCTTTTATTTATATTTTCCTCTGTAATGTAAACACTGATCCTATAAATCCCACGATATATAGCTTTTCACACAGAAACATTGAGTGAGAGTAGTTTTTCCTTTTTCTTTTAATGAATCATGCCCGTTACTCTTGTCAAGTATTGCATGATTTTGAATTTTTATACTTAAAATTTTGAAATATTGTATTTTCTTTTTAAAAGTTGCTTTTGAAAATAAGACCTTAATCCAACATTTTTTGTGGGTCTGTTTTCGGCTATGTGGTACCGTTATTTTTTTAAATATATAACTTTGTGTAATTTCAGCTTATGTCCAAGCAGATGGCAAGTGCAAAATCAACTTTCAATAGAGGCAGATAGTTCTTTTATTTTTGGCAATCAAATACTTCTTAATATGAGCAAAATATATAACTATACTTTATTGTAGGAAATTTCTCAACTTTTGTTAAGGTTCCTGGTTCAAGAGTCTTGTGGAAATGCAACCGACTGGGATTCTCAGATTTGGCTGAAGTTCACTCTTTTTCCAAAGAAAATATTTTGTGGATACCTAATTTTGCCCCTTTTTTTTTGCCCTTTTTCCAAACCCTGAGAAGATGTTAAGGGAAACCAGGCGTCTATGTCTACAATTAGTTATATTTCAGTTATGGCATTTCTCATCCTAGAACCGAGTTTAAAATTTATGAGTGAGTCCACCAGAGTAAGAGCCCTTTTCTCTTGTAAACATATTGGTTCTGTTATATGTGATATACCTTTTTTTTGGGATCAATGTGGAACCTAAGAATAACAATGGTTGCTGAAACAGAAGTCGCAAGGATGCTGCATTATGGTTACCTGTGATTGTTTGATATAGAGATTAGGAATATTAATGTCTGTTATATTAAGTGTGAGTTCTATTCTTTTTACTTAATATTTCATTGTTTGTTATACAAATCCTGCCTCTTTTATTTCTTTTAGATGGAAGGGACCTTATCTTGTATATAGAATGAGAATTTTAAATTTATTTGTTCACAGGCAAATGCTCAGGAGAAATTCATGAGGATAAAACATGCATACAATACATTGCTGAACTCTGGATCTCGAAGGAGATATGGTTCCGGAGATCACTCCTCTAATTATTCATATTCTACTGCTGGAAGAAGCCAAAGTGGGAACACTCAAGATGAAGAAGAGTTCTATGGACTTGGTAAAAATTTAGCTGGAACCAGTTTGATTTATTATTATTTCATTCTTGTCTTTATATTTTAAGAAGTTTCTATACTTCAAGGTTCACTGCCTTTCAGTAGTGTGTCAAATCTCCCTGAGAGCAAATTTTTGGTACTTCTGATGGAGATCGGGGTTAAACCTGCATGCCACACAAGCATAGAAACAAGAGGAAGATTGAGGGTCTTTAGTGTTACTGCTTGTAATTTCAAAAATTTTGGTTTTCCTTAATTTTAGGGTTCACGTTGCCCCCACACGGTGTTTGATACATTGAGATAGTTGCATTTTTGAATGATTGAGATTAACACAGATTCAGTTTGCCTTAATTCCTTCTCTCCCTCTTATTATTCTCTTTCTTTCCTCTCTTCTTTCTCCTCTCCTCTCTTCTTCTTTCTCTCCGCCTCTGCACCAAATTGTTATCAAGCTCTTCCCATCCTGCGTCAACCTTCATCTAGTCCAAAATGACAATGTCTTCTAGTGTCATGATTGTAACTGACAAACAATCAAACTGGTCCTTCACTGAAGTAGATCTCATAAGCTTTTGGCATGTCAGGACCCACCTCGCACTCTGCAGATTTTGACCACTTTGCGCCCTCTTGGCCCTCATTCAAAACACAGCTACATAGGTAAGAGGCATGCCCCTTATAAGTGTCAGCAACTTCCCCCGCCCGCGCATGCGCGGTGATGTGGGATGTCACATTGACCAATTAGATTTTCCCAAGTATCCAACTGGTTGGATCTTTTTGGGCATATTTAGATTTGCTTTAAATGTTTAGATCAACAACTTAGACCAGTTTATTCTTCAGATGACATGTCTGGGTGCCTTGTTAACTGCAGATACTCCGGACTCCTTGGTCGACTCTAAATGGTCTATGGCATTAGTGCCTGTGATTTCTTTGTGCTACCAAATATTTTCTGTGCATATGACCTCCGTACTGTTAAAAAAAAAAAAAAAAAAAGCAAAATCAAAACCTCATCCTACTGTCATTCCCTCTATTAGGTGTTAGTTTCTTCTTTACGTTCTTATATTTAACCCCTTTATGCTGCAGGTAACTTTGTGAGGGATGTTCAGATAACAATAGGTAGATTTGTGGACACGGAGGGCCATAAAGTTTCCTTGCTTCATTTTCAATTCTTTGTCCCTTTCTTTTAGCTCTTTATGTTGCACGTAGAATTCACCTTGGCATGCTGCTGAAGTCTGCTTTTGGTGTTACAGAGGACTTCTTTAGGGACCTTCGAGAGGAATATCAGAACTGGGAAGCAAGTGCTGCTTCACAAGGGAAGCCAAAGAGCTTGTGGGAAGAACTGGCGGTGAGAAATAATTATGCACACAAGTTCGTTGAGAATAATTACAACGAACATTATCTGCATAATCCTAGTCCATTCATTTTTTGGGTTGATCAAGTATCAGTTTTTGCGCGTGCAGGAAATTGGGGAAGAATTTGTTGAATTTCTAGAGAAAGAGCTGAACATCAATGATGCAGATGTCAAAGCAGAAAACAGTGAAGACAGCGCATTTAAAAGTTACAGAACGGAAAGAACAGAAAGTGGCAGTAAAAATGAAGCTGGCAAGGAAAGCAACAACATTGATGAGAGCATTGATGAGATTGAAGCCACCCTTGCTCAGCTGAAAAAGGAACTGGGTTTGTAAAGGGAAATGCAGCTTTGTAGTCTTTATCAAACGAAAGCCGAGTCATTCCTCATGTTCACTGAGTAAAGAAATGACAGGAACCAGATGATTAATTGTATCGCGAATTAACATCTCCAGATTCTTCTTTTACAGTAGAAGGCCTCGTTCAAATCCATCAGATTCTGCTTGGGAGGAATGATATTTACACTTGCCATCAATTTCTTCCTTCACAGTCCGGGGCTTTTTTTTTGTTTTTTGTGTCTGAATTTAAGTTTGTGCTTGTACATATTTGGTCCATTTAACCATTAACTGTTGTTATCTAAGAACTTATCTATTATTGAGCAGTATATGTTGATGTATGTACTTGGTGATCTGATAATTTGTATTAATAAACCAATGACTAGAAAGCTTCCATTTTTTTTTACCTTTGAGGAAAATTAGAAGATGGAAATAGATAATATTAATTATGAGATCAAAGGGGTTGCAATGTTGAATCTAATGCTCTCTATGTATGTCAGTGCAACAATTTTAACTTTAAAATTGTAGATGTAATAACTTTAAATAGGGACGCAACAATTACATTAATTTTTTATTTAATGATATTATATTTTATGATGTAATTGTGTTGCATCGTGATATAAGTGTGTTACACTAAAGTAGCGTGTTGCACTAATGTAGTTGCATTGCAACCTAATGTAGTTGCATTGCAACCGAGACTCCCAAGCAAAGGATCCCCTAACATAGAAGGGGATCCTGTTCAAGAAAAATATGGTTAGCATAGTTGACTCCCTCCTTGGCAGTCACCATGAAATTCTCCATTCAAAACGATCAGCAAACTTTTTTTTGTTGTATTATTATTATTTTGGTTACTGTATTGGTAATGACTCTCTCTCTATACCATTAAAAAATATCAAATAAAGGCAAAGGCAATCCCCCTTTTCCGGGAAAATGAAAGAAGAATAAAATGGGATGTACGATTTATACATTTGAGGTTACGCATGAAATACATACAAACTTTTTTTTGTTGTATTATTATTATTTTGGTCACTTTATTGCTAATGACTCTCTCTCTGTACCATTAAAAAAGGGATCAAATAAAGGCAAGGGCGATCCCCCTTTCCCGGAAAAATGAAAGAAAAATAAAATAGAATGTACGATTTATACGTTTGAAGTTAGGAAAACATACAAGCCACACATACAAAAAGATAAATATGGTGAAATATTCCGGAAAGTATAATACGTTGCAAATAACTGATATTAAAAAAAATGACTTCCCTTTTCTCATCTCTGTGCCTTTCACCTCCATAACGGTCCCCATACTTTCCGCTCCTCAAGACAAAGTCTCTCATTTACAGCCTCTCCCCTTTTTCTCTCTCTACCACCTCTAAAATCTCTAAATAAATTGCCAATCTCATAAAGATCACAAAATCTCTTTGTCCATCCACATTATTGTTCAACCATGGATAACAACAGCAACAGAGAATCCAAAGCCAAGGCTAAGGTCCCGAGAGCGAAGCTCTCAACCAGGCTGCAAAACCATGCACCGGCAGCTCTTCAGCTCGATCATGTTGGCACCTACAATGGCAACACCAACCCGTTCGATTCCTACAACGAGACCAATTTTTCTCGGTCTGCAATTCCTTTGTTATCGCCCCTTATTGTGTCACCCCCGCCACTACCTGAGGCAGAAGAAAAGCGGTTTCCGGAGAATGGCAACAACCAACAAAGTGGCAATGGCGAGAATGGGGCACAACCACCGACGGGAGGGTGGCAGCATCCTGCCATGGGCACAATGACAGATGCTTCATCACTCTTTGCTTTCTTCCAATCGCAGTGCGTGATGTGAAATGCGTGGAGTGAAGCTTTGAACATGCATCGTCTCTTTTTTGTTTTTTCTCTCCCCTCTGTGTGTAACATGTTTCTTAGTTTTTGTCGAACTTTGGAATCTTTGGGTTCTCCAAGACTTATTTTTCCTTTTTTTTTTTATGGGTTGTTGCTTCTATCAAGGGTAAACTGAGAATTTTTAAGGCAAGCTTATATGTCCCAAATAATACGACTTGACGTTCTCTCTCGTGTTAACATGGGATGTCCTGAGGATTTCAATAGAATAACATAACTACCAGATCTTCAGGACCATTCTTAGCATTGCATAATAAAGAAGGAAAGCATCCTCGTAAAGAAGCAACTAAAAAATACAAAACCTTCAGAAATCCAATAAGCACAGACAAACCCCACCCAATGCGGTCAATTCAAACGCAAGCCCTCCGTCACGGAGACAACCTTGACAGCTCGGAAGGACACAACCCCAGCCAGCCTTCCGAGTTCTACCCCCGAGCTCGGAAGGACACAACCCTAGCCAGCCTTCCGAGTTCTACCCCGCTGCCACAAAGATCACTGCCCAGCCACCGCATGATTTGCTGCCCTATGAGATTCATATTGATAGCCACAACTTGCGGTTTAACAATTAATCCAGAAACGAGCAAAGAGGGGAAAATGGCATACTTGTTTCAAAAAATCAAAAAAAAGAAACACATTATTCGGAGAGAAAATGAAAACAAAACGTGAAATCGTTGTAAATTAACCAAGATGTCCAAGTATACAGTGAACAGAATCATGCATTCTGTCATAAAACATTAAGCTTCATGTGGCCGTCAATTTAGGGCAAAAATTGCTCTACCTTTATATACAACTGGTCAAGCATCCAACCCCTCTAAAATAATAAAACATCTCACATTGTTCCGACAATCTTTCATTAATTCATAATTATGGGAAATACAAGACAAAATCTCCAGATTTGGTCCCTTGAGCAACTGCAGCTCATTGCCGAATGACTTTTTTCCTAACAAAATCAGAACTCAAACTCTCCGGTGGCCTGAAGAAGAAAAGCAGCATTTTTATGAGGATTTTGAAGGATAACACGAACAGGGAGAACGAAATAATATCACTAATTTTTTGTTTCAACAACAAAGAACTATGAGAAAGAGAAAACACAACAAGAGATGGATGACAGATTATAAACCATAAAACACACCTTATTAAAGAGAATGTCTTTGTCATTAATGTGCATAATCCCGTCCTTTAGAGTGCATTTCCACCTGCTCTTTGTACGAGTCACCTACCCATCCCAATGAATTGTGCAATTTTAATGAGGCTATTGCAGCCATATCAACAAATAAGTCATACGAAAATATTATGCTCGCACAATTAACACAAAAAATACCTTGTCAAATTGGGCCAAAACTAAATGATGGGTGTTTAGCTCCTCTCCTTGGTCCACATCATCCAAATCATCATCATCATTTTCATTCAGGGGCTCATCGTCATCGTCTTCATCTCCAACATCATTCTGAGCGACAACAGCAGGAGTAGCTGCTTGTAAATCTAAAAGATGCAGAAACCAGGTAGACCCAACATCAGACTATAAAATAGATCATAATTTTTTAATTCTTTTTAATCAGAATCATGAGGTTACCATTTGGTGCTGGTGTATTCACTATATTGTAATCTTCATTGACAACTCCTTGATAATTGTATATCTGCAAGGTGAGAGAAAAGTAACAAAGTCAGTTTAGAAAGCAACAGCTAGTGAACTTGTCATGTTTTTCAATTCGTGTGGTCTGATAGGTTGGGTTAGAGAACCTAGCAAAACGGGGTGGATATGGGGTTGAGAGTGACTAACATAAAAAAGGGAGGAGGACAAGGAACTTGAATGCAATGACTCATAAGAATTTTGAAGTATATGCATAGCATTAAGCAATGCAACACAATTAGGACAGCATACCAGCATCAAATATTGAAAATATGGCAGTACCCTTCTACTGTCCTTTGTCCTGGTCAGAACACATAATCCATAGCATATTCATCCCAACTTTCAATCAAAATGATCCAACAGAACTCACTCCGCAGAATTTTTTAATTGGACAAGAATTGCCGTACAATAATTTAAATATATCGGAGACCCATGGTGCATCTTGCATTTAACTAAAAACCTAAAAATCCTCCTTTGAAACGTTTTTTTTTTTTTTTTTTCCTAAACCCTTCTTTGCAACGTTAAAATTGTAGATAAATTTATGGTGATTTGTATCCTTATATTGATGAAACCATTGGCTGCCATGGAAGGGGGCGTGATCTCATAGGGTCATACCACACTTTCGACCTCAGTTCAAAGAGGGCAGCTGCCACGTATAGTGGTGGTTGACTCATTAAGATACAGTAGGGGCAGTAATGCAGCTGTAGGGTGTTGCTGCCTAGGTTGGTCACACACATATCACCTCGTCAGGACGAGGCCATTGTCCCTCTCTAAATTATGTTGAGATAGACATCAAGCTAGGTCACCTTGCGGCCCTGTACTTCAACCACCATAAAAGTGCTTCAAATATCACAAAAAAACAATGATTTGTTTGGTAAGAGGGATGGCAAAATGGATGTAGAAGAAGAGGGATGGAAGAGGGTATCCCTCCCCCATCTCTCTTTCTGTTTGGTTGAGTCAAAGGGAAGAAAAAGGATGAGTTAATTATATTATCATTTGACAATTGTACACTTAAATATAAAAACTTATACACTAAATGTGGATAATCACGTCTTTTCACTTTTGTCCACCAAATATCATGGCTTTTGACTGATAGGACGGAATGGAAAATAAGTTTCATGTAGTCAACCTCAAAGTAGTTGGAAAAGACTTTATTGAGTTGAATTGAGTAAATATCATGGCTTGTATTATACACATCACTTGTATCATTTTTTTTTTTTTTGTTGCAAGTTTATTAACAGTCATTCCTCTAAAGCTTATTAAATGGCTAAACCTAATTAGAACTCGAATGATCTCGTTTAATACTATTATATAACAATCATTAATTATTGTACATTAAAAAATTAAAAGATAATTAATTTTTATACCAATATTACTTTTTCAAGTAAAATGAAATATAAGGAATCTAAGGGCATCTGCAAGCTTCAGGTACATGGCATTTAAATGGGTCAAGAACCCCATTTAATGGACGGGTTGGGTTCAGTTGAGCATGAACCCAAATCTAACCTAACACTGCACCCCTACAAGCACTGGATCGACCTGCTTCTACCAGTTATAAATTTGTAATTAACTAAGCATTAACACCATACATGATACGGAGTAAGTCCTAATTCACACAAAGCGAGAGCATCAAAATCTAAAGTTCTTTTGAGTGTGGGAGCATCTTCACAGCGTCATTTTTTAAAAATTTAAGCAACTATAGTTTTTATTTATTTTATAAATTATTAAAAAATGGTACTCAGAGCATTTATATGGTTATATATGCAAGTATGCGTAGTTCAAGTTGGTTGACTCTCTTAAATAAAATAAATTAGTATCTTATAAAACAACTGATGTAGTGGCAAAGTGGAAACGTATTTGCTACCTTCACTAGGTGGCCTGGAGTTTGAGTCTTCACTTCATCATCTCTACATAATTTTAGCAAATAGAGGAGTGGGAGCCAGCATTCATGTATCCGTGGCAGCAGGTATGGACCCAGAAATACAAGTGAGGGGGGGCAATTGTGAATTTTTAAAGTGGGGGCAATAGTGTGATTTTATAGGTATATATATCAAAATCCAAATAATATTAAGGTATAATAATAATTAATAAAAAAAAATCAGTGGGGCCAATTGGGCATACAATAGATCCGTCCCTGCATGGCAGCATCCCACCCTTAAGAATTTAACACTGCGGATGCTGAGATTCAATTCGCAAATTCAGAATATTGAGAACGCAGATTCATGGCATTTTTGCTCTCAAATTGCTAATCCGCACTCAGAGCGATAGTTCACCTCTAAGTTAGGCAAATTGTGTGACTAAGGATAAGTCATCAATAAAAGCCTCGAAGCAGATGTAATGTCTACTAAGTCAGAAGGCACCACCATTAGGCTTACGATTATTAAACTGACAAAGGAGATATGCATATAAAATGCCCCGAGCATAAACGTCGAAGGTGCTACAATTGGTAGCGTGGCAGCACATTCCACGGACATGCATATGCACATGCACAGAAAAAAGGTACCAGCATAAGCATCAAAGACACAGAAGCAACAGCTTACATTGGGTGTAGAAAGCATATCATCGTATGCATCAGGAATCGGCCCATCCAGTTGAGGAATCCTAGGAGACAACCTCGCCCCATGTGCAACCATCTCAGGGTTGGCAGCACTGACCACGTCACGACGGGTGTAGCCCCCTTTATTTGCCTGTAAATGACCATAAGATGTTTCAATAAACTGCACTATTATCTATTAAAATATAAAAAATTAATAAAAACTTGAATTACTCTCTCTCTCTCTCTCTCTCTCTCTCTCTCTCTCACACACACACACACATTAAGGGATATTCCTCCTTTTAACAACTAATACAATTACTACACCTAATGGACTCTGGTTACATATTCCCCTCTTATTTTGACATATTTCCATCAACAACATCATCTTAAAACATAAGCATATTAAAATTTTGAAATCATCAAACCATATAGCATCAAACACTTAGCAATTATAAAAGATGCCACAGCATACTCAGTCAGTGCCTATAAATAGGCCACGTAAAGCAATATGATCAACAGCTTCTACTATTTATAAATAAAATATGCTCAACTGTGACTTGGGGGTAACTGCAACATTTTAGAGCCAGCAATTTTTATCTGAAAGTATTAATAATAATAATAATAATAATAATAATAAACTTTCTTTATTCAATCCAATTAATGGTTGGGTAGTAATTCACATATTCATTCATAATTCTGCCATTGGTAATGCATACACAAAAATGCACAGGGAGGAGGAAGGAAAAGGGAGTGAAGAAAGTCTACCAAGCAGGTGACCCACTTAAAGACTCTTTGCCATTGTTCCCTCTACTCATCACCACCATGGGTTTCCAGATGTAGGTATTTTCCTTAATGTAATGAAGGATTTATTAGCTTTGATTCATGATGTCATTCTCCATCGTCATCTTATTTGTCTCCATCTTCTCCCAACTCTTGTTCGTTAGATTTGAGGCCCTCCTTCCCTATCTCGGGGTCAGGACTCAGGAGTAGTACTCCCTGCCTCCCTCAGGGCAAGGCGTTGTACAAATTCATGGTCAGGGATGGGACCAAGGATGGAAACTGATGCAGGTTCAGGATGAGACGGTATTGGAGTGTGTGTTGCTTCTGGCAGGACAGCGTCAAAACAACAGGTCCCATGATCCCATCCAATACCCGCCCCGTTGCCGTACCCAAATGGGACAAGGTTTATTCTTGTTCCTATCCCTTTGAGATTTAAATAACCCGAAAAGGCTAGCCAGTTATAACTAAGAAAAAAAAAAAATTAAATAGAAGCCTCTGTTGAGAAAATATTGTTTCCCTGGCCTTAAACTAATGAGTAAGGAAGATTTTGTTTCCCTGTCCCTTTAATATTGTTGTGAAGTTCAGAAATTGATGGTTCATTTGACATATCTCTTTTGCTAGCCATTTGACTGAATATCAAATGGAAAAAAGATTTGGAGAACAAGACAACATAGGGAGAGATATCTCAAAACACATTAAAAACCCTATTTCAGCAAGAATATATAGCACAACAATCATGTTCTTTCTTAGCTTATTTACGTACTTGGTCTTTGCTCCATTAATTTTAAATTAGACGAAGGAATCATTTACTGCAAAGATGTAGCATTCAGTTGCCTAATTCAAAAATGAAATGCAAGGGTTTGAGTGGTCCAAGTTCAAAAAATGCTTCCTTTTAAGCTTAAGGATAAAGAATTGGTAAAGGAATAGGGATAATAAATACGAAACAGGCAGTCTCTGGAGGCCTCTGATCTCAAGTAGACATGAGGATGGTAAAAACAGAAAAGATGCAACATTGTTTTAACATTTTGCAGGATAGTTTGAAGCCAGATGGTTTAACCAACTCGGATAAGCAAAAATGTAGTCTTACATATAATAAATGAAAACAAACTCAGGCACAAACGAAGCAAGGTCGGAGTATGAACTCTTAACAAATCGAATTAGTTGACCAAAGCATGAGGGTATAACAGCATTACAAAATAACTGATTTAACATTAACAACAAACACCAAAAATGGCAAGCAAATGCTGGTATACAACCCCCTAAAAAATGATTTATACTAACAAGATTATACCAAATATTTTCATCGCCTTTTTTTTTTTGACCAATTACTTCACCATTCATTCAATGTCTTTTTAGAAAATTATATATGTCAAATTGCCAATGTATTGCAACAAGATGGTCCAAGTTCTGGTAAACATAATTATTTAATGTGATTCTAAAATGTGGCACCCATGTAATTTAGGTACCAAAATCCATTGTATCAATGTGTATAACGGTACTTATCAGTGCTACATGGACTCTCATATCTCTCTTAATGTACTGGTGTCGAGTGTCAACACGACACGACACACAACATGGGTATAGGTATAGGTGTGGAATGTGTTCGAAGCATGTACCCAAATCGGACACCTGAAGTTTAACTGTGATTATGGAAGAAGAAACTCATATGGCAAAGAAGGGTTTCCTACTTATAAGATGGATGGAATTCCCTTTTTCACCATATTTTATTTAATTTAAATTACCAATGAGTATATTTTTAAAGAGCAATGGCATCATAAATTACACTTTTATGTATCAATATCATAATATTTTTTAAGTGTGCAAGGCATGTCCACGTATTCGTATCCAAGTTTTAGAAACAGTTTAAATTAAGTTCCCGGATCCTAAGATTTGGGATTCAAGGAGGTCCAAAACTTGGACACATAAGTGTACCCACTATAATTTTTTTGTAAGTGTACCCAATATATGTGTCCAAGTCCATATAACATAGGTACTTATAAAGGGCCAATTGCATTAAATCAGAACTTTTCAACAGGTATATGAGATACATGTGTGTAACCAACATATTTTACACCCTTAATCGTTTTGCACTATGTTATTTTACCCCCTAACCAACCCACTTTAAGATTGACATTAAATTAGGGTGCTTGAGAGAGAAACTAAGAAAATAGATAATAAATAGTGAGATCACCTCTTAATTTTAATAACCTAATCCAACTTTCCAAACTAAAGCATTTCATCTTTTGGAACCTGTTGCTTTATGAATATGTTCTCAACTTGACTGCTAAGCATTAGCTTGTGTGGTCCCCCCCACCTTCCAAAGAGGGGGTTGAGGCTTCAAGTCCCAATAGAGAAAAAAGTTGGTGTGTGTCTTACTTAATTTTAATAACCTAATCCTAACTTTCCAAACTAAAGCATTTCTTATTTTGGAAACTGCTGCTTTATGAACAGATTCTCTAATTGACCACTGAGCATTAGCTTGTGTGGTCTCCCCCACCTTCCAAAGAGGATGTTGAGGGTTCAAGTCCCAATTGAGAAAAAAAAAACTGGTGGGTGAACGTGTCTTACCCAAAAAATAAAAAAATAAGATATTCTCGACTTTTCTTCTGATTATGCTTGTTGAAAGGTATTGTTTTTTGCTCTAGGAGGAGGAAATTTATGATAGAAGGTCCTATGAATCAAAGTCAAGTGAGATCAGCAATTTGAACAAAGAGGTGGAGCGAGAGAAGAAGGCAATAGCTCAGATTCCAGCCCAAGTGGTTTGCAGCATAAAATTCAGTTAGCACATTAATGTCGTAAATAGTACATAAGTACTGGGGGCTTAGGGCTGTCAGGAAAATGGGTCATGTAGCCCACATCCGAGCCAACAATACTTAGATCAAAAGTTAATTTCCTGCTCTAAACAATAGAACAGGAAAACTTTTAATGTTCAGATTTTTAGTCCAATCCCATAACACCACCAACCCAGTGACTTAAACCATGAACCTATTTAGTAATTCCTAAAAGGGAGTGAAATAATTTCCAAAACTTCACATTTTTGGTTGTGACCGTGTGTGTTGTGTGGAGGGAACGATATATCATCTCACACAAGGGTTTATATGTATGAAAAGAAGAACTCAAGCTATTTTCATACACAACCAATGCTTAAACTAATTATGAAGTAGCCAGAACTAAATTGTGGCCGACCACAAGAGCATGCCAACTGAATACTCCAAATGTCCTAAACATGATCCAAAATCAGAAAATAAATTATGTTTCCTATATATACATACATATATATATATAGATGTTCTATATGTATGTGTATGTATGTGGTAAATGTGTGTGTGTGTGTGTGTGTGTGTATTTTTTTTTTGGTAAGTAAGATTTCATTAAAGGCGCTCAAGAGGGAAGCGCTCCCAAAGGAATACAAAGAAGCCTAAAACGGCACTCAAATTTCAAGCCATCCACAAAATCTAAAAGATGCCCCAAAGATTTACAATTTGCCCCATTGACCCAAAAAAATAGAGTAGAAAGAATATTGTATTTGAGAGACCAAATAGGGGACTCCTCTCCATCAAAGGATCTCCTATTTCTCTCACGCCACAGACCCCACCATAAACAAAGGGGTGTGGTTCTCCATGCATCCCTAGCTCGGCTCTCCAATATACACCCTCTCCAAGCCTCTAACATATCATTCGGGAAACACCCAAGCCAAGACCTATGATCAAGGTATCTAATTGGTTATTTGGTTTAAGGTAAAGTAGTCCAGGTTTAGCTCAATAACATGCCAAAAGCAATGAAGAACAAAGACCACACATCCCTTGCCACTGGACAATGAAGGAGAAGGTGGTTCACTGATCCCTAAGACCCATTACAACAATGACAGGATTTTAAAAATTTTTTGCTCATTTAAATTTGATTTGCTTCATCGTCGCTGGAAACTTTTTCAACTAAAAAAATAAAAACAATTAACAAAAGATTCCTTCTTTTAGTTATTTTTGCCCACAAGGCAAGTTATTGAAGCATCAATAAGACCCATTCACAACATTTGCTGGTATTGACAGCAGGGTTCTTGGTTAGTGGTTGGCAAGTTAGTATTAGAAGAGTGATCAGTCTTGTCAAAAGACATAGCCTACCTTCTTACTACCAAGAAAGGTACTACTTATTCACGCATGCATCAAGATGATGATATTTTCCCAAGACAAAACAAGGCATCAAGTAATACAAACAATGGTAGGAAATAAATCCACCTCAATGTGGGCTGATATAGCATCTCCAGCTCCATCTTGCTGTGGAATGTATCCACCAGTATGATATTGCGAAGCGAAATCCTCACGTTTCCGCTTTCCAGCAGACATCAAGAAGAAGTCCTGAATTTTGTTCCAACAATAAAAACAATAATGATCACTGGTCACACTAGATGATCATTTTAAAATGAGATAGTATCTCTTAAACAGACGGCGTGTTGGCTTTACTTTTTAATTTAAGTTTCCAGTTTTAACAAGAACAAGAGATAGTAGAAAAAGCGTTCAGTTTTTTTCTTTTATCATGAAAAAAACTCAGGAAACATGATATTAGTGTTTCCCAAAACAAAGAGAAAACACAGGGTGGATGTGTGCATAATTTCTTCAAGCATTAATTGGGGTAAGAAGTTCAGTTTCAAGTCACTCAACACAGAATCATTTTAGCCACAACCCTAAAACCAACTTTCATCTTGATTACTTTGACACTTCCTGTATTGCACTCATCTCAGCCATTTGCCGTCTCAAACAGTACATCCCTGTTGGAGTAAGGTTGTTTATCAGGAAGAGAATCCAAGGAAGTCAGATCCTTTTTTAGATTCCCTGAATTGATCAAAATTCATCTTTTTTATTTCCTTGCCTTTGGTGATTAATTTGAAGTCAAATGTAAGATTTTTCACTTTTTGGTACATTAATTAATTTAATTTCCACTCTCGACTTCTTCTTTTTTAATCCATCTTATCAGGTTGTGAAGTCTGGGATTTTTTTTTTTTTACTTCTTTTTCTTGTTACTTCTGCAATGTTTTCCTTCATATAATTTCAGTGGTGCAACTTGGACAAGCCAATCTAAACTCAGCCTGAGATCTACAAGGTTTTTAGATGAGCTTGGGGAGCTATTTTGTTGCTTGGGGTTGGACCTTTTGAAAAAATTCAACCGCAACTTCACTTCAATAAACAAAGGTGTCAGGCTACCCAAGCCCAACCAGAAACCGAGTTATATTTTTATCATCAATGTTATTATAGAAAATTTAATAAACCAATCCCAACCTGAGCATAATAAGAGTATAACGCAAGCTCATACTGACTAACTTGAGCCTAACTCGAGCTTAATTCGACCTTAGAAAAGAAAGTTTAGGCTGGTCTCAGATTGGGCTTGTTCGATTGGAGATCGGATTGGGCTTGAGCATGGATTAAGGACTTTACACCCCAAGTTGAGCCCAGGTTGAGCCCTCAATCCAACCAACTGACTGGGATTGCATCCAAAGTAATTGTGGTACTTGTGATGTCATTTTTTGTTGGGTGTGTAACTGAACAATTTGTATATATGCTTACAGTTTGGTACAGTTCTCTTTTCCTTTTCCGTTCTTTTTTTTCTTTTGGAAGGGGGAATTACTGAATTTATGGTACTTCATTGAATTTTTACCTGGTAACTTTAATTCTATCATATTAAATTTGTGTTTTTACTATCTTTGTATGTCAATTGTTCCTTGGGTTGCCTGTTCCCACCCCGTACCAAACAAAACAATCGTGTCTACCACACATATAGAAACTATATAAGCGGAAATATAATAATATGTAACACTCTGCCAAACAAGTTCCCCATTTGCAGAAAATAACTCTGCCAAACATATTCCCCATTTCCAGAAAATAAGAAGAAAAGTAACACGTACATCTTTCCAGTTTTTTTTTTTACAAAAAAAAAAAAAAAAAAAAACCCGGTGCCGAAACCATATGGACCCCAAACTGCAAATAATATTAACCTGTGTCGTGGGTTGATGATTTTGTCCCCTGTCTGCGTTTTGTCCCCTGTCTGCTTCTTCCCGCCCTTCCACGTAAGCTACAGAAAGAAAATGATAATCAGTGCATAACTGTTGAGTGTTAATGTTACTATTTATGTTTCTTACTTACTTCCCCTCCTCCCACAACCCCCAGAAGAAAAACAAAAAATGTCAGCATTTATAAGTGCACCTCCCCGTAATACTTACCAACATTAACATCGACACTAAGAGGGGGCCTCTGATTCATCCAAGAAGAAGGTGGTTGCTGCACAGAAGAGATATTTAGAAGTCACTATATAAAACAGCCCAAAGACACGTGTCAGACAGCAAGAATAGCATTCACAAATGCAACGCCATTCCGGAAACATAAACAAAACACAAATGCAGAAATTTAAATGAGTGAAAAATAAGTGAACCTAAAGCTTGTGAAATAACAAAAGTCAATAAAATAGATGGGAGAAATATGTGTTTACCATGTACTGACTAGGTCTCCCAGCTTTCATCTCTGTGACACCACCACTATCATTTACCGAATTATAGTCACTGGGGGTGATGGGAGTACCGGTAGGAATGTTATATGGTGAGTTGTCTGCTGTTCCAGGCAAAGGTGTTTGTACCGTCCCCGGTAAAGGTGTTTGTGCCATTCCTGGTAAAGGTGTTTGGATGGGAGTCTGCAATGGTGTCTGAGTTTGAACACCCATATCAAAAAAACAAAAACCATGGAACTATTAACATAAGAAATCACTTAAATTTTTCACGAGAGAGAGAGACAAAAAGAAGTGACAACTCACTGGAGGGAAGAGTATCTCAGCGGTGGGAGTTTCATATTCCTCAGTCCCTTCATAAGGTACATTAAGATCGTGAACAGTAGGAGTAATAGGGCCCCCTGGTGCCAGCTTGGGAGCCCTATCTATCGGACCCAATATAGCACCGGCTTGAATCATTTTCATTTCCCAAATCTAAAAGATTTGCAATAAATTGATTATTCCAATTACATTCAGTAGCTATTAGAAATCAATAAATCAATAGATGACAAAACCCTAATCCTAATCAGATCAAAACTCTAAATTCATCAGCTAAAGAAGCCAATTTCCGATACAACCAAGACTATAAATTAATTTAACATCCAGTGTAAATAAACCCAAACAAAACAATCAATCAAATTACAAAAAAAAAAAAAAAATCAATTATTAATAAGATTTAGAGATTACTCCTTGAAGCTCGTGGAGAACACCATCGCCTGGACCACCGTTGTTGACGAACTCGTCTCGGACCTTGTTGATGACATCTTCGATGACGTGGACATACACAGTACTCGTCGTCGACGAACCCGCCATGTTCCGATTCTCCGAACCTTTGTTCTTTGCCGTCGAATTTTTCAACACAGATGATACTAGATCTTCGCAATATTGACTGAGATATGTTTCGGAAATAGAGAGTGTTGAACGGTTTGTTGGGCAGAGGTCTAGGGTTTTGAGGTTGCGGGGTCTGGAGTGAAGGGTGGATATGGGTGAGCAGAGGGGAAGAGAAGAGAAAGGGGCGGACCAGAAAAGGAAATAAATGTGGAATATAAATAGGTTTGCATCCGTTTATATGCGTGAGTCTACGTGTCAACTCTCAAGATGTTCACGCTCGGGGGATGTCGCCTCCTTTCCATATATATATACACATCATACACACGTGTATGTATATATATATATGCTTCTCCTTTTTTTCTTTGTACCTTTTTTTATTTTAATAAATTACACTAATCTACTATGAGATTTAAAAAAATTATAGACAAATAAATCGTTCATTTATTATTTTACCTCATTTTAAATTTAATGTGTATATTTAATGACATCTCTAACATTTTTTTTGGTGTGACCAAAATTTATAAACTAATATTTTTCGTCTTTTCCTTATACAAAATATAATATAATATATATAGAGTATTATAATATAAAGACATGTTAATTTTTCACACTTAAAATTTGTTTTTGATCACCCGCAAACATAATATTAGAGTAATAAAAATTAAATATTTTTTTCCGCGTCTAATTTGTCCAAACTTCAATTTGTTTTTGATCACCTGCAAACATAATGTTAGAGTAATAAAAATTAAACATTTTTTGGGTGTATAATTTGTCCAAACTTCATTGGAAATTAATATAATTTATCATTTTTTTATTATTCCTAATATAGTAGTTTTATATATATATATATATATATATATACACACACATATGCATATGTGTGTGATTGTTTATGTAGACAAGGAAAGTTGTAATTATTTATTGGATGAGGGCTTGAAGAGGACGAAGCTTAACAATATTTTAATTTTTAAACAACAGAAGTTGTATATTTATTGTAATTATTTTATGGAGGGATTGAGAAAGGATAAAAGAGACTAGAAGCTTTCTTCATCCCTCCTTCCCATTGTTAAGAATAACTAATATAAAATACAGTATCTACTATCAATTTTAACTTTAATTATTTACAAAATTACTTATTAAATGTAAATAAAATTCTCCCACATATAATGAGTGCGCACATCCCTAAAATATATATATATATATATATATTTTCATTCCTTTCTTTGCAGCCAAACAATAAAAATAAGTCCCCTCAACCATCCTTTTTCAGGATGGCAATTTGGCCCACCCGCAGATACTTGTCTCGTTTCGCTCCGTTTTTAATAATTTTGGAGGACCGTTTATCTCGAAAATAGTTTGATGTAATAAAAACCCGCACAAGTTCAGTGCGGGGGTGGGGGAAAGGTCACCCTGCCCCCGTCCCGCCCTGTTTAGATAGGTAAATTACTTAAGTACCCTTATTTCATTATAATATATATTTCGCATTAGTTACCTTATTTCATTAGTATATATATTGAAATAGTTTGTTTTGCAACAAAATCTAAAAATCCTGAACAAGTAGCTTGCACGACCGTTTAGAATGTTTTTAATATTGAATTTTATGTTAAACTATTTATTGTCCATTTTTTTTAATGAATCTTTTCAATAATTATATAATTTTAGTTGATAAAAAATATTAAATGGAGGAAAATTTATGGTCTTAAACAGGGCGAGGCGGGTACCCGCGGGGGTAAAGATGTTAAACGGGGCGGGGTGGGGATGGGGTGGAAAGTCCCCCTTTTTGCTGTTTTGGGCGGGGACGATGGTGAGATTTTTAAACGGTTGCAAGGGCGGAGGTGGGTACATCCGCCCAAACCCGCCCCCGTTGCCATCCCTAATCCTTTCTACTATCATTCTCATTCAATCAAATAAAAAGTGAAGGAGACACATTCTCCAATCTGGGGATATCTCATCCATCCCTCCTCATTTTTCTTCAATCTATTTTTCATTTCTCAAATTAAATGGATCACTAAATTATTTAGATAGTGATTTGATTTGTGATCGTAAAATTGTTATAAATAAGATTTAACATAATTATGATAATAATGTCACCTATGAGTTAACAAACTTTATAACTACAATGTTGCTTTAAAATTCACGAAAAAAAAAAAAAAAAAAAAAAAAAAAAAAAAAAAAAAAAAAAACTATTGCTTTATAACTACAAAATTTAAAGTGTTTGGCTTAAGTAAGAAAGTCATTTGGTCCTGGTGCTTAGAGAAATATCTAGTTTAAAGTTTGACTCATCTTGAATACAAATAATTCCTTAGAGAGGGGTCAACTAGGAAAAAAAATATTTTATAATTACAAAAATATAAAAAAATAAAATCCCATTTTATGCAAAGAAATTTGAAGAAGGAAGAAAGGAAAATTTGAGAAGTAGAAGATAAGTATTCTGAATTTTTTGTGTGATTTACAAATGACCCCAATAGGGTATTTATAGGCAGCCCGGTGCCTTTTCATATGGCCTGAAACCATCACCTGCACTGGATGTGATGGTTCGGTTCAAACAGAAACGTTGGTTCGGACCAGGTTTAACCTTTTGAATGCACCCATTCATGAAACCCATTTAAATAAGCTCAGCCCAAAAACTATATTAAGTCCAAACACAGGCCCAATTCAAAATTCTGTTTAAAAAAAAAAAAGATTTACCGGACTTTATAATTAAGCCCAAACCTAAGCTCGGATCGGACCGGGTCGGGCAAGCGCGTGTGGTAAATAGTTTGAACCCAAATTTGCCTAGGTCTTCCCCCTCTAAAAAACTTTGGTGCCCTTGGGCCTAAACCCAAAACCCAAATTTGGCTTATTTAAACTCTAATTGGTTTCACTTTATTTTCAATGTAGGATAATGACTTCCCACATTATGCATACCTATTTAAGCTTATCAAACACTTTACTTTGAAACTAATTTCCAATTCACTCGGAAACAGATTTGAGAAAATAAATATACCACGATCATCTTCTTATAGAGAGAAACGCATTCATCTATAGATTCGTATAAAATTCTTAGCGGGATCTACTTAAAATTTTGCCCAAAATTTATGTTTTGTATGTTTCGTTTCCAACGCTTGGCGTGATACCGGATGAAGAACTGGGTGTGGCTTTGATTCCAATTGTAACGGGTGAACGCTTACCCATTTATTTAAAAATTTAAGTTGTTGGGTAGTGCTACATACCCACACATTTATACATATTTTAATTCCTATCCAGATCTGATGTGGGATAAATCCCACTTGTAACGAGATCCCACTTAAACTTGTCATCCTTTCCTTTTTCTTTTTTCTTTTTTTTTCTAAAGAAAAGAAAATAAAATTTGATAGTTGTTTAAGAGCCATATAACTTTGAATACACAAAGGAATTTTAAAAATAAAAAAGTTTTTCCAATTTATTGGTGAAAGCCCACCTTGCTAAATGGTGAACTAACACCATATTAGCTTCACAAGGCACGGAAGAACCGAAAAGCTTTGATAGCCAGCCAAATAATTTTGAATATATGCAATAATGTTTTCAACAAAACTGGAGAAGCAACGAGATCATTTACAATTTTAGCCACCACTTTAGCATCTCCTTCAAAGACGACCCTATCAAAATTCCATTGTGAAACCACGAGAGTGGCCTTCTAAGAACTAATTTTTCTTTTCTTACGTTGGTTATTAAAAGGCAATTATCACGGTTTTAGTGTGGAATTTTGATAAGGTCATCTTTGAGGGAGTAAACAACATCCAAAACCTGAAGGTTTAACACAAATTTGTATACTTAGTTATTGATATATATTCATATAACTTTCTGGACCAAAAAAAATAAAAAAGAAAAATCTATAAATAAATAAAATAAAAAAAACATCATGTTATCTTTACTTATACCACATAAAATTACTGTTATTCTTTCATTATATATATAAAATTAATTTTGTAATATATATATATATATATATATATATATATATATTGAAAAAAAAAAACACACACACACCAAGAGCAACTTCAAAAGTCAACTCCTTACTATTCTAATTCATGTGATTATCACTCCAGTATAACTTAACTGGTACAAAATTGGCCCAATAGTTTAAGTCTTCGTGGAGACATATGTGTGTGAGTTTATTTTACCATTAAAAAAATAATAATAATAAAAAATAAATAAATAAATAAACAATTGCAAATAATTTTTCAATCAACTCCATGAATGCAACTCGAGGTACCATATTAGAGACTGTAAGATAAGCGATGAATATTGCATATTCAAGTCTCTAAACATGCGTATGTTAACACCTTAATGATACTTTTATCCAGGTTTTATACTTCTTTTCGAATATTTGCCTTTTGTAGGTCATTTCCCTAAAAATAGGACAAAATCATGATTTTAGAGCTTAAAAAGACGTTTTCGGGGTTGCTAGAGATGTACTGGACCTTCCAAGCTTATTCTTGAGTCATTCTAGAGTAATTGAAGAGCACAAGGCCAAAAAGCTTGAGCATTTTCCAAAATGCTTAAGCACAAACACCCTTGGAAAGATAAAAAGACGCCCCGGAAGTTCCTAGTCCCAGAGCTCAAGCATTTTCCAAAAATTCTGGACCTGCTTTGGTATTTTAGGCATAACTTTTCACTCCAAAATTCAAATTGGGCAAACTTAGAGGCTATGGAAAGAAGATTCGAAGTCCGATATTTTTATCTCTAATAGCAATTTCGAGATTCATACTCTAAACGTATCCAAATAGCATTACAAATTTAGAATAATTTACTAAAAGAAAAATGCTCGGGTACAAAGTTTTGTGCTTGAGCGCAAACCTCTTTGAAGTTAAAAAAACATGCGGGAATGATGTAAAATCACCCTCTTTGATTCCTTATGGGTCCAATTGTTCCCAAAAACTATAAAACTCATCCAAAATGGATTAGGACTTATTCTCCACTATAAAAGAAGATGGGAAGACATATTAAGATCATCATCTATCTCACTCTCTCTTGCAGCTCTCAAATCTCACGGCGGCTTTTAGGGTTTTGAAGATTGAAAAAGAAGATCCAAAGGAGTTTTTGGTGGTCCATGGAAATGGCTTCTAAAACATCAATGAAGACATCTTTTCTCTCCATGAGTAGCTAAACACCATCTTAGGCCTTGATGATAATATGGTTTGATTGTTCTTTAACTTTGAGGATTTTCATTATTTATGTATTTTGATTGCATGATTAA